AGAATTTCGAGAAATAGATTTAATTCTATTTAATCCTAAAACTATATTCTCGAAATTAGATATTCAAATTCGTATACCTACCCCCCCCCCCCTCTTTCAACCTAAATCAATAAATCTCTCAAACTCCTTACAATCCAATAGAAGTTCTTTCTCAATTAGTATTAATTAAATCTTAAATAATTTGTTATTAATTAAGTTCTCCTATATTTATATTCGAAATTATACTAGTTCTAGCTAAAAATACAAAGAGATTAGCTTATAAGAATACACTTTTAAGTATAAAGAATTATATACTTTGAATAGCAAATAAGATATTAAATAAATATCAATATACAAAAAAAACTCAATTATATTAAGGAGGAATACTTATTGAATAAAAGGCTTTTAATATATTATCTTAATGAAAGATTAATATTTAAATTTAATATAATAAGCATTAAAAAGAAGGGAATTTTAATAAAAAAGTATTTTCTAATTAATATTATAGTAAATACAAAAAGATAGAATATAATACAAGAATCTATCAAAATAATATAATAGATTCTAGATTATTAGATTTTTAATAATTTCAATCAATTGATTCAATTATTGTTGAATAATATGGATTTGAAAGTATAAATTGAAATGAAAGTGGGCTACTTAATGATATAGGCCACTCGATGATAAACCATGTTACATAAACTAATACTTTTCTGATAGAACTTGGATTCGATTTGAAGATGGAAACCCTGAGTGTGAATTATAATGACGACCTTTTTGATGATTAGGATGCCCTCTTATGGGAGACTAACTAAACAAAGCTATTAGATTTGAAACTTTACATAAAATCAGAGAAGATTAATGAATTCTTAGCTTTCCAAAGTTTGAAAACACACCAATCAACCTTGATCATGGCTGCCATCATAGATCTAACAAGGAAGACGGACAATTTATAACTACCTGTCAAGTGTCCTTCATATCATATCATAATCAGTAATAATCTTAGGCTCCTACTTCTATTTCTTCTTCCTCGAAGAGATCTATTCTAGAGAAAACACATTACACTTAGAATCTCATGGCGGATGATACATTCACTCTTTAACAAAAGCATGGAGTTTGTAGCCCTACAACTATCGGCTACCAAAACACATTCAATTAACACTACTCTTCGAGCAAAGATGTAAGCCTCAATGGAGATCAGCACCAAAGAGTCGCCATAGCTCGTGCTGCACATACCCGTGAGACTTTAGCATCATTCGAGATATTAAGAGGAAGGAACATGTTTTTGAGAATGTGTCTAGTCCTCGAGGTTTACTTTGCAGAATGGGAACTGACGTTCCTCCAAGGACCCATGATGTTGATCTTCCCAATGCCGACCATGTAATTGTTCTGGACCAAAATAGTCTTGTGGCTGATTGCAGGATTTTCGAAACTACAAATTCTTCTTCACCTTTTAACACCCCATTGGCTATTCGCGATTGACCACTAGACTGTGATTCAATGACAGCGACTCAAATATTCAATGGGACAACTTTAGAGATCTCGCCTGAAAAGAAGACGGCTTTGCCAGACGACTAAAGATTCGACGAGACGTTGGCTACTTTGCCTACATATAGGTACTTGTTCTCACGCATTGGCACTTGGAAACTGTCTATTCACAGTATTTCAATTTTCAATGCGGCTGGGCAGTTTCGTGGACCATCAGTTCTGTATGGCTTCAAGTTTGGGCTGACATGCTGACGTCGACGGATGACCATAATGTATATCTTGTGGGCGTGTATGCTGCTTTCTCAATCCTTGCATTTCATTTATTGCTCTGTTTTCTAGATATACCTTAACTATAATAGCTATCAACATAGCTTCTCCTTATACGTGGTTCTCTTGATGGCTCTACTAGCTGCCCGTCTTTTATTATTCCCCACCATCAACAATAGCACCACTACGTATCCATTCTCCAAGACATTCTTTTTGTTGGCCGTTTGAAGAGCTGCGTGGGAATCAAGATGTGAAATACTAAGTCTGAAGGTTAGGAGACTGAAAGAACGCGGGCTTTTTTGGTAGCAATTCTTATCCTTGGATTTGAGTGCATAATATCGAAGATCACCCGGTCATCAATATCTGGTGCCATGTACACAGTCATAAACAACCAAATAAGCTACACACCAACCGGTGACCATGATTCAAGGAGTATGATAAATTGGTTTGTTCCCATTCCTAGTACTAGTGATAGTTCACGTATAAATCTCTGAACTTTTTGAAAAGATTTGGATATTAAAACGCTCGTCGTCCCCTTGCGCTGTGCCATGTTTTCGCGAAAGGTATCGGGCATGCAACGCCCCAATCAAAGTCAACCCCCATGCTGTGCTACAACCATAAATGAAACTCCTGAATAGAACACGTACTTCCTCCCAGACTTTCAGATATCAGTCTCTCCATTTTTTTTAGTTCAAATTGTAACCAACTATCTCCTCAAAAAGTAAGAAACCATTTCGCATCAGTCCCCCAAGCTCTGTCTGACTAATGCCCTGCATCTTGACTTCCACTCTCTCATCTCTTTGCCTTTAGGATTTGCTTGTGCTTCCCTCCACATCTTTGCCGCGTCCACATTTGCTGGGCTACTATCATTTGGATCATTCATAAGACTGACCACGCTTAATAAGATAGTTTCTGGTGTTTGAATTGGGGTCCATCGTTCGCTTGCGTCCTCGTATCCAAAGTCATCTGTTCCCGATGGATGTAAAATGGATATACAGAGAACACCTGTATCCGCGTAAATATTTGGATGGAAGGGAATTGGATCGCAAAAGGTAAGCGTCGGAGGTGCATGTGGATAGTTTTCGGGAAAGGAGAGAAGACAGCGCCAGTTGCCTCCTGGAAATGATTGTTAGTATGAGCTTTAAAAGACTTCGAGGTGCGTAATAGAGCATACCGCCATAGTATTTACACTCGTCACTCAACATGAGCATAACATCCCATTCAAAGATGTTGTCCTTCACAAGCCCACAGCTGATGCCCGGTAAATCCTTTGCTTTTTGTATTTCTTTCAATTGTCTGCCAAGCAGGTTTGCTGCTGCGCTTCCCATCCTTTTGGTTTTCGAATGTGCCAAGGAGAGCTCGAGTTGGAAGATTGATTTCAAAGTTGGAGAAGATTGTAGATGAAAAGGAAACTATGATGTATTTGGAGGTCGCAGATGGTGGAAATGTAATGAGTATATATACTAAAATACTATCTATGAGCGAATTAGAATCATTGAAAATCAACGGTACATAGGTAAGTCGTCGCACATGGAGGTTTGTTTCAACCACTTTGAATTCACTACTACGTACCGGGTGAGGATTCAAATCCAAGAAGTCGGAGGGGGGAGCTATTGAGATGGTACCGTGAACAGTTGGGGTCCGAGAAAGCAATATATAGCTATGTTATATCCAATACTTGTGATTTGATAGAATAGTACGAAGAATTGTCAATATTGACGAATGGATTGTGCTCTGAATTGATAGATGTTTGAATATCTAGGATGTTTTTAGATGTACTGGAGTACAAATGAATTCAAGATACGACGATACTTTAATAGTGAGGTAACGAGGGAAAGTTTTAGCGTATCGGCGGATGTAGCGGGGTCAAGTCCGTGAAGTGAAGTGTGAGGATGAGTTTCAGTGCAAGTGATTGTTTTTGGAAGGTGGGGTGATTTCATACATAAATACAAGTACTGTACGCGTGTGTATACATATGAAGGTTCTACTCGGGTAAATGAAGATGTAGTCAATTTCTAATTTATGCTACTAGAAGAGTTTAGTCGACGACGATGTTTGTTTGAGCTTCAATTCATTCCTCTCTCACAACAAACACACTCTTTCCAGCTGTCAACGCTTCTCAGACTTTCTACCAACATCAGGAGCATCCTTGGAAACAGAGAGAAACTCCTCGAGTCCGACGAATCATCATGCACAAAGGCATATATCAGTCAATTTGCATGGCAATGCTTCAATACTACAGGGTAATGCCACATACCAATAACATTATCGAGATCAGATTATGTCGTATTTGTATGGACGATGATAAAATGGTAGCAATATGGGAGTGGTTTAGTGACATGATCGATATATGCAGATAAAGATCAGGGGTTCAAGTATCGGAACAATTCTCTAAACGTTATACGAATGGATATCTCGGAATTTAGCCAAAACATCTGGTGTATCAAATATGTATATATAGTGTGTGGTGATACTAAACCAACCATTTTCTGTCAATCTCGTACCAGTGTCACGATGAAATACGGCGTCAAAAGACTGTTGACACACATATATTCTACCAGCTCTATTGATATTCAAGGGGGGCTGAGGTCATATATCCAAGAGGTTTCCCTTCATTACTTCGCCGATCTCAATATCTATGTCTGATTCAAATTTAGATGATATCCGTGAAAAGGGTACCGAATGCCGAATATTTTTGCAAAGGAGTACAGCCCCGCGTTATCTGTCTTAATTGGAACACCAAACTGGTCTGACAGAGGGATCTTATCCGAGACGGAATGATTTCACGATAGCTGCAAGGAAAAGCCAGACCAAGGCGTCTATCACTCCCCTTCAGTGGTTGGCGACAGGCAAGGTTATCAGATTTGTAGATATCAGTCATCGAGATCCTCCTGGACACAGGACCTTGACAATGCATTGAAGAGCACAATCTAGAGTCCTTGATTCATAATTGAGAACACAAAACTGGTCTGACAGGTTCGGGTCTAAATCTAATCTAAATGACTTCAAAATAGGCTAAGAGGAGGGTTGATATAGGTGGTTTTTGGTATAACATGTGAGGATGAAGAGCACATGATACCATGTCTCTAGATATGCATCGAGATCCTCGTCGTTAAGGGCTACATGAAGCAGGACAGCCCTGGGTTATCTCTTGCTATCTGAGCACAAAATTAGTGTGACAGGTTCGGATTCAAGTCCGAACCATTCCACGACAGCCTTATCAGATCCTCATAAACATGGTTTCCCGGTAGTCGGCAAAGGGCATAGTCAAAAATCCTCCTTAATTTATGAGTACAAAGCTAGTCTGGCGCCACATTCGGGTCTCCAAGTCCAAATGACTTCACGATAGCTTCAAGGAAATACGTCGCCAGTGACTATCGTATCCTCAATCTCAATCAGTGCTTGGCATATGATGCAATATCCGCGAGGATCATCGAGATTCTCTTGATTACGGAGTGTACAGATGTTTATCATTGCTATCCTGAGAACATTCCGACTGTTCGAAATTCATCTTCTTCAGTCGTCAAGTTGTTTCCACTTTGAGAAGCCGGAGGGTTGTCGTTATGAAACTTCTAATCACTTTCACACCCGTATCTCAATTTATGGATCTCCACGACTCATCTTCCTGGATTGTTCAACCTCTTCATATCACAATTACAATCTAATCCCCTCCTTTACTCAGAACACGTTTCCTCTTGATGTATTGTTCACAACGGTCTATCTTCTCAATCTCGTCAATCACAGATTAGCAACCCTCTCAAATCCAAACAAGTTTCTCTTTCCATCCTCTTCCTTCCATATCCATCCCTTCTTCCCAATGATCTCCTCTTCCCTTTCCTTCACCAAACTCCTCAATGTCTTGTTATCTGCAACATTTGCTAAGGATCTCCTTCCTGTCTGCTTCAATCTCCCGATTACAAATCCAAGTTGGGGGTCGTTCTTCCTCGAAAAATGTACTGTATATGTCTGCAAAATTATTAGCTGCAGATCAAACCTCTCCTACTTAATCATGATCATTCTAGCGTCTTTCAACATCCGCCAGTGCAGATTTGCCATTCAAGACAATAGTAAAACTCACCTCAATCGTGCCTTCCAATGGTCCTTTCTTGACTCCCTCCAGACCAACAACCTCCAATCCATTTTCATCATTACTAGTAACACTTTGTACCATATTTGGGCAGGGATTTCCATCCTGATATTCCTTCCCGTCATTTCTTGGTTGTGTGGATAGACATACAACGTGCTGATATGTCAACACTCCTCCATTTGCCAAAATGAGACCATTTGAGACTACAGCATTTTTACGATTGGAGACTTGATCTCTTCTGTTACGAAGCTGTCGCGTCATTTCTGTAATTGCCTGCAGTTTGTTATTTTATACTCATTGGCATGAGAGACTCATAAAACTAGGAACTAGGGCTTTGTGTGCGACGAAAGTGCATTCTGTTTAGGAAACCTCGAGACTTAGAAATACATACATGTAGACTATAATTATTTCCGGCACCACCAAAAGATGTCAAGCCTCCCAACAAAGTGATTGGTCTTGGAGGGTCCAAAAAAGGAATCTTCAAGTGATGAGCTGCCAATTTTGGGACGATTGGAAAGCATCTATAGTTTTCGTCAGCCGAATGGTCTATGTTCCGCTTAATTAGTCGTACTCCTCCCACCTCTCCCCGCCGATCTTGTGAAGGTATACCTACGAATAAAAATCAAAAATATCTATATCCTTCGTCTCCAAGCCTGAAACATCCAGTGCCGAGTCAAGTGATGTTTCTAAAGCTTCACTAGAATGAAAATTTGGTCTTTCCCAAACTATTTCTGTTAGCTTTGTGTCTTGGTTAAGTTCGCCTTTTCAATTGCTGTAAGACAAAGGGGTTTGGTAGCATACAGTTATCCTTCTCGCGCATCCCAGCACCTCCTAATGGATATATCCATTTATCTTCTGTAATACCCAGCTCGGTAGCAAATGAAACAGAAGTAATGATGCAACTTGCGGCCATATTGACGTTGTTGAATGCATTCATTAGGAGAGGATCTATGATATCCATTAACAGGTTTGTTCATCTCATCTCCCGTTTACTTCTCCGACTACCAAAATTGTAACTCACAAGGCCAACAAATCATTCTATTCCCCTTCCCTATCTTTCCAATACTCTCTTCGCTTAACTTTCCCGCAGACTCCCTATTCCACGCATATTCATTGCCAGCCGCAACAGCAGCAAATTGGGCATATAATTTTGCGGATTCGGCATTATTGTCTACTTGAGATTGGTGACGATGGGCTCGAAAGGCATTTTCGTACAGCGGGTAAATGTGTATCGGGAGTCCAATTTGATGGATTGTTCCTAGTGCTGAGGGAGGGGTATTAGTTATAGGTAAGAATTCTTAGCAAGCAGATGAAGGCGATGAGATTAGAGTTTTAGAGCGGCCATGTGTACCACTCGGTGTTGATAGGGTCTATTACTTGTGTGCGAGGTTAAACAAACCCCCCCCCCCCACTTCACTCAAATTCTCTTCACGATTATCGCTGAACTTAACAATGAGCCCACAATTCTCCGATATCTTGACTAGCATCTTCTTTTATCCCCTCGCTTCCAAAACGGGGACTAAATCAAGAAGCCCCGAGGGCAACACCGTATAACTCGCAATTTAAAGGGTAAGGAAAAATAATACATACTCTCAACTCCTTTCGGCAAAGCCAAAATCTTCCTTGGGTCGCCGGCTGGCGGTGTCCAGTGAGAAGGATATATACCGGTCTTTGATGCGGATGAAATCACTACGCTCATGGGATTTATTAGTAAATCTTTGGAGATAAATTCCCTTCTTGAATTTGGGAGCTCCCAAAGACTAAGTTTTGTTCCAGCTATAGATCATCGCCTCTTCTCTCATGTTGTGTGCTTTATCAGCATCAGCGTATACCATCGCTTGATGGTATTATTTTCGATTTGAGCGATCAATTGAACACAGTTGATATTGCTTGTTTTAGTGCTGTGTGCAATATCTCCCTCTTTTTATTTTTCTCTCGACCTCGCTTCCTACTAAATTTCTGCGCCCTGCGCCTCATTTTTGCTACATCCAAATCATCTCACTAATACCCTTCCCCAACTTAATTCCACCTCAACTTCATCACCGATATCCATAATAGCTTGAAAGGCGAAACCAAAAAGAAAAAGAAACAACTCACAACTTTCCAACGCCTCTCCCCCAACCACAACCGCTACCTTCGATTCTCCCCTCCCCACCCTCTGACACGCTTCATCCAACATTTTTACCGGCGAATTCCCCCCATGTTCCGATTCCTCTTTATACACTCCCTTTCCCTCTCCCAAGTTATCGTCCCCTCCCTTCCCCTCACCCAAAATCCCATCCAACACACTCTGACACACATCCACATACGGCCACGTCCAATTCCTCACCACTCTCACATCATCCACACTTTCTTTCAACATTCCCAATTTCTCCCGATCACGAGATTGGCATAGCCCGGTATCCGAAAATGATTTCTCGAGAGATTGTAACATGAGTTCTAATGGTTCAATTGCATCTTCTACGTCTAGGGAACGATTTATGACGTCGCCGACGCCGATGATGATTGGGATTTGTGGTGGTATTGGCATTGTGATTGTGAACTCGGAATGTTGAGATGAGGAAGGATTGTATGTAGATATCCAAGGTAATAAGATCAGAGGAACATTCGAATGTGTTCGCATATGAGCAAGAAATATAATATACAATACGCAAAATCGAAAAAAAAAAAAGATTGAAGGGAATCACAAAGATATAACTTCATAAATATACATACAAAAACCCAACCCGCGCCCACAAGAAGCCACCAATTCCCAATTCCAAGTCACTAGTTCTAATCACATGGATCCAATTCACATTACTGAATACAACAATCATCCCATCCATCCCATCCATCCCATCCCCGCTTGCGTGGGGAATAGAGATAACCAGAACATACCTCGGGCATCGGACTCGGTTGGATAATATAAAATCTGGGGATATTAAATGGATTGGATTGGAATGTGGCCAAAGGCTAAGGACCAATAGATACAAAGGATTTTGAGCGGTCCCTGGAAAGGTGGATATTATAACTTACATAGATCCGGGGCTCGAGCGTTTCGATGCTGCAAGAATATAGAATGGAGGGGGGAGAATTACCGGTAGAGTGAGCATAGAATGGGAAGGCCATGATATAATAAATATATTGACAGAGACTACAATCGGCGTAGATGAATTGAAACTTAGAAGGCAAAGAGACTGCAAGCTGGTATGTCGATGAGTATATGATATATGAATGATACAAAGATAGAGCTAAGGTGTGCATTTCAAGTCAGGAATGTAAGTATTTATCAATTTCATTCGCTAACAATTCATAAATATGTGTGAAGTAATGTAATGTGTGGGGGAGCAACCGTAGTACGAAAGTTCGCCTCTTATCCAGCCCCTTTCCGTTAACCCCTCCCTCACCGCCAATGAACAAATAAAAATTCGGGATCAATATCTCATCGAGTGTCAATTGCCACCGGATAACAAATGGTTGAGTTCGGTGAAAGCTATCGACATAAAGAGTATCTGTCTCTTACATCTCGAATTGAATTGGTGTTCCATTGCTGTCTGTTCCGATGATAACCTTCTTGTGATCAGCACCAAGAACCATGAAAACTTCTGCACATAAAACGACGGTGAAGAAAGTCGCGACGGCAATTTCCATGGCAGCAGCCTTGACATATGCCTTCAAAAGTCTAACACGTGAGTTCCAGTCAAAAGTTTTCCATGCATCGAGGGTTCCCAAGATACCATCTTCAGTAACACGTCCACCAAATGTACGATCGAATGGTACGATAGATTTATGATCTTCGGAAAGGAGAGAAGCTTGAACACGAATAAGGCTGACACTTGCTGGAATGAGAACAAGGAAAGCAAGAGCACCGGCTAGAATAATGACGGAAGCTGTTCGAATACCCATAGCTGAGATTTGTTCCGGAGTCATCTTTGAAGGTTCATTCTCGAATGATTCGAAAAGACCGATTGAAAGAGCAAGGTAACCTGGGAGGAAAATGGCGGCTTGTTTGGCGAGAGCAAAGACAACTGTTGCTGGAATAACCTTCTTGATAGTTGCAACATCTGGCATTCTCTTGTACCATGGAAGTGGGCTTGGGTCCGAGATAACGATGTGTGTCCATGCCAAACTGAAAGGTGCACAAAGGACATTCGCAATAGGATAAGCGAAGATATGAGGGAGGAAAATAGACAGGAAGTTCATTTGTAGAGCCAACACAAATGTTTTGACGAAGTGCATTCCAACGCCCCGTAAATGACTTTGCTTTCCGGCGCGGGCGCGAAGGTGCTTGATGGTTGATTTGAAGCTTGAGGTAATGGGTTTCTGCTTTACAAGTAAGAGTTCGGGTTCAGCATCTCCTTTGTGGTCGAGTTTCGCATCGGGATCTTCAGATGTGAGAGGTTCGAATAGGATTGCTTGAGGAGATTCGACCATGAGAAGGGTAGGAACGAGTCTGGTGAAGGTATATTCAACCTATTTTGATAGTTAGATGATGGATTCATCAAGTCTAGAAGGATACCCTAAAGAGAGTAGCCTAAATGTCGTTTTGTAAACATACCATAAAGTCCATGATCAAGAATACAACAACAGTACTTGCGATCATGATAACGCCCCAAACTGGCATTTGAAATTCTTCAGTTGGCGTCTCTGTACCCCGAAACGCATCGAGACCTCTTTTCGCCAGCCCCATAGTTGGGAGCATTTCTCTTGGAAGTATTCCCATAATGTCGACTTTGTTCGATATAACTTTTCGATCGTTTGCGTCTTTAATATTTGGTATCGTGGTATTGAAAAGAGTTGTATCCAAAGTTGATGAAAGAAAACAGGAAAGGAAGAGAGAGAGAGAGAGAGAGAGTGAGTGAGAGAGATGGTAATGAATGAAACATGTGAGGCGGGTACAGAGTAATCAATACGAAATACGAACACAACCTTACCTAGCGTGCGGCGTCATTGCTCCTGAAATTGTGGCGCAGCCATCTCAGGAGCCTGATCTATAAGTACCTATACCATGAAGAGTGATTACATAATTTACATGAGACCCTACAGATTGGATACTATGACAACTCTTTCGGTCTGTTTATGTTTTCTCACATTGATTAATAAAAACTAGGTAGGTACAAGTGCAGATGCATGGCTACAAAAGAACAACGTCTTGAATGAAATAACGTCAACCAACTTGATATCCCCTTCACATTTTCATCTATGGGACTCCTTGGATATAGAACACTCACGGCATATACGGATACGGCTCAACCATTTACCCACTATCCATACCGTACCAGAACAAGATCTTACCTCTTCCTCCTTGCCACAGCAAACCATCTCCAATCAAATATCTTAAAACGAAACGTATGCCTTTAGATACCGGGGCTGCCCCCACGGCAGTGGCCTCCGGAGGACCAGCGGAGCGTCACTTCATTTACACAGCTCAATGAATCACCAAAGCCATCTTCTCTCTCTTCGTTTTCCTCTTCCTCCTCTCTGCGCAACAACAATTCACTTACGGGCCAGTATCAAATTGGAGACTAAAAGAAACCTCAACCATATCCTTGAATAATCAGTGTTGGTGTTGTATTCCAACTTGGTCATATTCTGGCCAAGCCTCTGAGAAGGATTTTTGAGTCATAAGTTTATCAAGAACAGATTACAGATTGATAGTTGCTCAGATTGAACCATTCGCCATTGTTATCCATTCGAGCCATTCCTGTGTACGAAACGTGTTGTAACATGCAAGTTTCTCATGGTGGGACTGGGGTCGAAATAAGCTACATGAAGTGTGGATACTATTGTTACGATAGGGCTGATGGTTTTAATATATGCATAGTAAATTGGCCGCTGACTTGCTGTCAATGTCCCTAAGCACTTTTGTCTGTCGATGTTACATCTACAGAGATTATGGTACACTACGAAGTATATCCTGTACATTATTTACAACTGCATGCATACCTAGGATCCATTCCTTTCCACAATCAGTCAATCAATCCTAAAAGTCTCCCAGCAACCCCATCCCATTCTTCATCCCATCTCTTTCTTCCCTCTTCAATAGCCCCCTTCTTTAATCTCGCTAATTCCTTTCCACTTGTATCTTTGAAGACTTCCTCCAAAATATCTGCCAAATCTTTCGCGGTTGTAAATCCCCATCCATTAATACCTTCCTTGACCAATTCAGGCCAACTGAAATATTGATCATATCCAACTACCGGTAATCCTGCTCCAAACATATCAACCACTTTCATGGGTAAATCTACACCACTACTACTCTTATGTAAACAGACCCCAAGGTCGGCGCATGCAAGTAACGAGGCGTAATCTTCGATACTAAGCCATGCAGTCTTGATTGTAACATTGACCAAATCATAGCTTTCAGTGAGTTCTGCAATTCGATCAAGATACATCTGTTTTTGAGGACCCTTTCCAGTGATGATAGCAAGAACCGGCGGGCAATCGAATTCGGCAAATGGTCCATATTTAACGAGCGCATCTAAAAGCAGGTTGAAATCTTCATCAGGAGTCCATGATGTACTGCTAACTAGTAGTCGTACATCTCCATTCATAATTGCATCGACATGATCTTTTGTTTCTGGTAAACGTTGAAGAAAGGCACATCGCTTCGCCTCGTCAGTAATCGGTTGGAAAATGGAAGCAGGTCGATCGTGAAGGGTAAAGATTGGTGATTTGATCTTGTAGGGACTTTCGCGTAGTTGGCGCTCCATCGCTTTTGAAACTGTGAATGAAGCTGTCGGTGCCCACGATCCGAGGAAAGCTTCATACCATTTGTATAGTCGAACGAAGATATGTTTAGGGCCTCTTGTTCCTGCGAGGATAGTCCATCCATAATTATGCCAATCAATTATTAAATGAGTATTGCGTATCAAACAGACGAGGTATGCGACGAAGAAGGTGGGAATTGAGGGAGGGTTCTAAAATTGTTAAACGATTATTGCGTGTGAGAGCCGGCCGCCTTACCTGAACTAAGAGCCATCTTGCTGGTTTTGTAGTGTAACATAAAACAAAAAATAAACTCCAAATCTGCCATAAAACCTTGCAAGGACCTGCGAAGAAGAATGGTATAGTACCATCTCGTAAATTTGCTGGTGGTAGAGGTAAAGGTACGATTGTAATTAGAGGATTATCTGTCAAGCCAGAAGGGAGTTCAGATTCTATATAGCTATTAGCACAAGTCATCGAGGAAGCTTGCGTCTAGGTAAGCTTCATTACCTTCATATCCAATGAGATCAACTCTTCCACCATGTTTTGCTATACTCATAGCATGGTATTGCATTCGAGGACTTCGCCCGATATCTCCTAAGACCAAAACCTGAACAGAGATCTTCGGCTCGACATTTGCGCCATCTTGAGTAGCCATTGGAGGCGAATGCTTGATATATCGTTTCGGTATTAATAAGAGGGTAATTGTGAATATGGTAGAAATTATTGTAGCCAATGTTAGAAGATTCTCTAGCATGACGTGGTTTCTTGGAATTCAGATGAAGTTCGGATGCTTCCAGATGATGGTAAACTTCACCCAGTCGGAAACTATCTATGAATGGAGGAATTGGCTAGGCTATGCCTCCATGTCTGAGAAATGATGCAAGCTTGCTTGACTAGGAAGTGAAGATGATAAAGATTGTCACAAATAGTAGGTAGATATTTTTAGAGGTGAAGTTTGGAGTTTGGAGTTTGGAGTTTGGAGTTTGGAGTTTGGAGTTTGGAGTATGAAGCACAAAGTTTTGAAGTATCAGAATGTATTCTTATCCTTTTCTTCACTCCACTTCCATGCTTCACTTCACCAGAAACAGATCATCCATTGAGAAAAAGTCGGTGTCCGGCGGTGACGATGGGCAAAACCTGCTCAAACTGGCTTAGTGCTGGGTGATACCCTTGCCATTATACCATTCAAGCCATTTTCCTGTCATTATCTTTCAAAAAGGCAAGTGGGATTTATTTCAAGGGAATTGATTGGGTGACGTTGATCGAAAACGGTATTTTAACGTAATTGATTGGATGACATTGATTTGAAGTCGCATTTTAACATAATCCGTTCGATGACACTTATTATTCGTATTCGAAAGTTGAAGTTGCATCGTGCGAAGTACTCAGCAGAACCTTGGAAGGCGCTTTCCTTTCCCCGTAGCCACAGATTTGTTAATCCAGGGGGGGAAAACTCCAAGAATCCAAGAAGAGTATCTGGGGTTGAATGGAACTTCCTTACTGGTTCGTTGGTAGGATCGTCAGCATAATTTCGAAGAGAATTTCCTGAATGGGTATTGATGCTTGTACTTGTTTGTGTACGTTACGCACCCGTGCTCCTGCTGTAACTATCAAGTTTCTTTCATTTCTGTCTTCAATTCAATGCCTACTAGGTTCTCTCACTTCATAATTCATAACAAGACTCTCATTGAACGTCGGCGAAAGATTGATTCGAACTATTGAGAGTATATATTAAATTGGATCTCTTGCTGCATTTGACCACTCTGTCTATCCACTTTCATCGTCAAAGCTCCTCACTATCTACCGAAGTCGACCTCTCTCGGCGCAAATCAAAACAAGGAAGGCAGAGAGAGATACCAAGGACAACGACAACATATGTGGAGAGGGGCTGAATACATACGGGCTTCATAGCTCGTTCGATCCATTCCAGAATTAACGAAGTTATGGCCTCGTCTTATGCATTACCAGCTTCAGCAATTACCAATAGTCATCATGGACATGGACATTCCCATTCCCATGCATCTTCACATTCGCATTCAAGCCGATCCTCGCAATACTCTGCCAGTAGGTCGAGACCATTGAACCAATCCATCTCAAGTCTGCACAGCCATTCACGCGAGCATTCCGAAACTCTCCATGAGCATGAACATGAACATGAACATGAACACGAACATGAGCACGAGCACGAACATGATGAACACAATCATGGCCACTCTCACTCTCTTTCGCATGACCATGCGCACAACCACACCAATGATCACTCAGCATCATACTTGCCGTCACCGCCATATAGTGAAGCGACTCCCATGTCTGCCACTTTCGAGAAAGGAGCATATGGAACCTACGAACCTCCGGTAAACGATGTACATGTCGACAACCATCATCATCATGATCATGACCACCACAACCATTCGCATGGTACGACAGCCGAAACGAAATCACAATTCACGAGTTTGATACTGCCATACGCATTCAAATGGCCTCTCTTACATGCAATATTGGCGAGTAAGGATTCGAGGAGGATCTTTTATTTTATGAGGTTGATATTCTTCCAAGTTATTGGAGAATCATGCTAATTCTGCCAGTCTTAATTTTGCCTTTATGATCGTTCAAGCATTTTACGGATTCGTTACGGATTCCCTCGGTCTTTTGAGCGATAGTATACATATGTTTTTCGACTGCTTGGCACTTGGAGTGGGATTGTTTGCTGCAGTTGCAAGTAAATGGCCACCGAGTCAAAGGTTCCCATACGGATTTGGAAAGATTGAGAGTTTATCGGGATTTGGTAATGGAGTATTCCTCATGTAGGTGACTATTTCCCAGTTGTGTAGTAATCACTAACATGGTTTACAGACTTATTAGCATCGAGATTATGATAGAAGCGACTGAACGATTGGCAGAAGGACGAGAAACAAAACGATTGATGGAACTTTTTGTTGTCAGTTCTTTGGGATTGGCAGTTAACTTGGTTGGCATGGCTTGCTTCGGTCATCATCACCACGGACACGACCACGGCGATCATGATCATGGACATGATCATGGCCATTCGCATGGACATTCTCATTCCCACTCTCACGACTCTCACTCCCATGACTCTCATTCCCACTCCGGATCTGGCGATCACGATCACAAGAAACAACCCTCGATTCTTCACGATGACCATTCACATTCACATTCACACGGTGGCCATTCGCATGATAACGAAAACATGAGAGGTATCTTTCTTCATGTGCTCGCAGATACAATGGGCAGTGCTGCAGTCATTGTCTCTACTGTGTTAATATACTTTCTCGGATGGTCAGGCTGGGATCCTCTTGCGTCTTGTCTCATCGCAATTCTTATTTTTCTTTCCTCAATTCCTCTTGTCAAAAGTAGTGCGAAGAAACTTCTTTTAACAGTTCCTGATGATACTGAATACAATCTACGAAACATCTTGGCTGGTGTAAGTGATTTACGTGGAGTTCAAGCCTACACCGTTCCAAAGTTTTGGCTAGGTGATAAAAATCAAACAGTATTGGGAGTCATGCATGTTGTTGCAACCAGAGGATCAGATCTTGAAGATGTTTTAACGAGAACGAGAGCATTTCTTTTAAGTAAAGGTATCGATGTGGTAGTACAAGTTGAGAAAGATGGAGACGGTAGTTGTTGGTGTGGAGGAGCAGGTAATAGCAGTCGATCGAACACAAATTCGAGATTTTCCTGATTTTCCTAGTTCGACAAGATTTATGGATTGGATTTCTTTCATGGAAGAGACATCATGGGATGACGATAGGATATTGATGAACTGATGGATACTTTGACGGCAGAAGAGACGTGTACTTGCAAATAGCATTTAGATCATATTAGCAGTACTTTAGTAGAGTTGGAATGAAATGATACCATGTATATCTTTTACCCTTGGAGCAAGATATATCGAGAACCTTGAGCGCATTGGACGTGAGCTTGGAAAGTTTGGATTTATTATGATGGTGATTAAAGGATGAGGAGAGCCGTGGAAGAAGAATTTCAAAGGCTCCGGTGGGACCGGTACTGGGAATGTCGGTGTCCTAAAAGACTTCAGATGAACGCTTTCAATGTTTAGCTCAATCCATATATATTGTGGACCACTTTACGATATTTTGACACATTTATGAAAGAGACTAAAGATAGCATGACGAGAAGAAGTTGATGATTTATTTTTAAGAAGCCTAAACATGCAACCCTTCAATACTCTTAATCGGAAGCCCTTCAACCGAAAAAATGCTATTATACGCAGCAAGGAAGGAAAACGAAGCTGATAGTCCCATTTGTCCCACTCAATGCTACTCACTACTCCCAAAGTCTATCCCTATGAAGACAAGCCACTGCATAAAGTATGATTGCATCACAGTCTGCCTTGCTGTTACAATCTTCCTTGTGTTGAAGTGCACAGTACCCCTTAACCTTGCATCCCTCAGGCTTCGTCTCACCAGGCTGAACAGCATACTCATCTTGACAAGAACCAACGACAGCGCTATGGGTAGTGCCATCAGGAGGACCGGGATGATTTGCTGGAACTTGAGACAGGTTGTACTTCTGCTTGTACTTACAGAAGGGTCCATGTGGACAGAGATCGGACGAGTTAACCTTGAGAATTAGAGACCAGGGGCAGACGTTCTCATATTCATCCTCGAGAGTTGGGAGTGCTCGTTTCAATATTATAGAGACATTGATAAGGTATACCTGGTAGGCATCATCGCTGAGACCAACTCCTTGCTTGTAATGAATGGCGAATTGTTCAAGGAAGTTGATATCTTCTGGGTAATTGAAAACGGAGCTAGGTTCCATGCGAGGATTTCTCGTCACGTCTATTGCAAGCTCAGTCTGTTTAAGGACATTTTTCAAACGCTCTGCTTGAAATCGTTGATAATTTTTATATTCTCTGACCATCTCCTTTACATCTGTGAGGAGGTCGCCACAAATCTCGGAAGATATTGGATGGACTATTGACATATTAGCAAGATTTGTATTGGCTTGAAAATTGCTTTTATTTGATGTCGAGAGGGAATTTTACGATGTTCATAGGTGCAGATACGACGTGCAGAAGGGATGCTTTGAAATGCCAAGGCTGCATTTTGACGCTGAATCTCTCGTGCAAGAAAGCTCGTCAATTTTGCGTTGATGAGGGAGTCTTGGGGTACTTAATAAAGAATTTTGACGTGTTGCATCGATGAGCAAGGCTGGCGAGGTGACTTGAGATGCTGATGGCGAAAAGGTGCTCGCAGACCCTCGGATAGGAAACACAATTTTAGAAGTAACCTCACTGGTTTGTTGATGAAGTACCAAAGTGTTTCGAGGTTGTGTGGAGATTGGAAGTAATTGTTGGGAATGATCGTGGTCGACGAATTTAGATTCGGATTTTGAGACGATCAAAACAGTAAAGGAATGCCAGTCGTTGTGGCTATGGATTGATTGTTGAAGGAAAATGTGAAACGATGAGTGTCAGATGTCGGGAAAACAAGCTTCACTGATATGTTGGGTTGGTGGGTTGCGAAAAAGAGTTACGAGTAAGTGGTTCTTCTCGATCAATTCTGAACAAAGTACAAAGTTCGAGACAATATAAACTGTCTGAACCTTTGTAGAAGATAAACTATCCGAGTCAAAAATGGAGTAGGAATAAAGAGAAGTATTTGTTGTTTTGGGAGGAAGTTGTGGCGTGGGAGTTGGAAAACTAAATACTAAATTTTCAACGGCACGCGAATTCACTAAGGCTTTTCTTGTTGAGAACACTGACGGAGACTTGCGATGGGCTTAGTATTTTGATGAGGTGCTATTAATCTCATAGAATTCACGGAATTGAGGCGAAAGATGAAGCTGACTTGTGGTTGTTTATTTTTTATTTGAAATTTTGGTATTGGAACATTGAAATCAAGAAAGTCTTCAACTGGCCGATATTATTATCAATGGACTTCTTATCTAAAGACAATCAAAAGCTTTAAAATTACTATTTTAGTACTTTAATAGTCATAAATACAAGCAAATACAATGTAAGTAAGTAAAAAAAGTTGTTTCAAAGAGTCTCAACATTTGCAACTTTCTCTTTCTTATTCTCGGTTAATTCGAGGGGTTAAAACAACCAAACTAACATACTACAATTAGATGCATTTTTCCAAGACAAATGACGACAAATGTATTTTCTTTGTTAGGAAGGATGCTAGATTAATCTATGTTCGAAATGAAACAAATTCAATTTTCTACTCATATTCTCCAACAAATGATTTTTAAATTGGAACTCAATAAATTGCTTATCAAAGTCTCCAGATCAATTTTAAAGAGAAAATTTGTAAGACCTTGGTACTCCATCCAGCGGTAACGAAATTTCCACCAAACTACTATCTCGAACTTTTTAATACGGACTTGAAGTTCGGATATCGTTTTGACGACGGGTCAACGAGGGTCAACGACACCGCGAAACGCCCTCTGCGAGGATTCTAACCAAATCCTCTCTACTCTATCTTGATGTGAGATTCACCGCAATTATTAAAAACAATACAATGAAACACTTGATTAGACAGTGAAGATACAGAGGAAGAAGTTCCTTGGATTGCCGGGAAATCCCAATGGCATCCGTGATGTGAATGGTCGAGAGGTTGGGTCCATTCAAATATTGACATCCTCCTCCATTCGTGAACTTTAACAACAAAAAACCGTCATACTCAGGATTGAGACATCGAGCAGGGTTGAAAGTATTATACTGCAAACCCTACTTGCGATGTTTCGTTATGCTGAATGTTGTTTCTACCAACTGGTGGAGTAATCGACGGGTGTACGAGTAGGGGATGATGTATGAGAGAAGTCTATCATGATGTGAAGTGAGACTACTTACAATGAGTAGGGCTACTTCTGTTGAGCAGGTGGCGGAAAGGCTGTGCTCACTTTGCGATCTTTCTTACCCAATTGTTCTTGTCCCGTCATGGAAGATGCTATGCGTTGGTAAAATTAATCTTGTCTGATATGGCTAGATTTTGACACCCGCTCCTCCGATATTAGACTCTATCTATATGAGTTGAAGCTGGACTCATAGAGCTCTCAGAATTCAATTCTATGTCATACTCGACGGAGTGTAATTTGATTTCTCATTCGGCTACGAATTCTTTTGATAGTAACAGATTAATGGTAATCCTCAACAGCCCGTACCAATCTCCATTCATTCAAGCGATCTACCATAGTAGAATACCAGGGCCGTAGTTTCTGCAGTAGGAAACAAATCTTCTATATCAAGAATATCAATTGCGAGTACCCTTTTGTGAAACTTCTGTCCAAATGAGTCTAAATCAAAGACACTCAACGATCGACTAAAAATCTTTAGTAATTGGCCAACGATTAAGATGAACCCAACTCAGGATCTTCGCAAAGTGACAAGGTAAGCGGAAGATCCTTCACGGTATCCTTTCATCCCTACCACACAAAAACTCTCACTAACCACAATCCTAGATGGCTCCAATGTCCTATAGTCTATATCCACGTAGGCTCCTCATCCCAAGAATTCGCCGTCCATAAAGATCTCATATGTTACACCTCCCCCTTCTTCCGGGCCGCTTTCACATCTGGATTTCAGGAGACAAACACAGGGACCATGAAACTTCCCGAAACAGATACGGAAATCTTTGATTTATTCATGGGCTGGTTGTATACCCGGGAACTCAGTAGCGCGAGCCTGAAATTGAGGAGTGGGAGACGAACGCGCAGCAAAACGTAGTGGCGGAGAGTACTTTAGGTATTGAAGATCCCATCGAAAGAAGTGGAAAGAATAAGTGCAGTGAAGAAGACCCACCAGAAAGGAACGAGACATTTAAGAGAAAAATCCAAGCACTTATGAACGCTCTAGAAAACGAAACATGGAAAAGCGAGGCCGAGACACTTTTCGAAGATACTGTCGGAAAAAGATTCCTCGATAATCTCGCTGCCCAAGTTAACAAGGAAGTGAACAATAAAATTTACACTTCCATGAGCAAAACACTAGGACTCTATATTTTCGCGGATATGGCTCAGATACCTGCTCTAAAGAATTGCTGTATCAAAAAGTATGATGAGCTCCGTAGGGGTATCAAAAATCAACATGATGGCCATGATCATGATCATGATGATTTCGGCATGACTCTCGGATCAATCTCAAACATGTGGAAAAATACGAGGGATTCGGATTTAATGAGGATGTATCTACTTGATTCGGTATCGTGGAGATCGGAACCGAGTATTCAGGAGGAAGTCATTAGGAAGAGGGATCGTGGTAGTCAGGTGGATGATTTGGAGAGATATTTTGAAAAGGTCGATGAAGATTCTTAGGTACTTGGGAGGTTAGTGACTATTCAATGAAAGTGATTATATGCTAATGAGCATAATATCAATGTTTAGAGACTATTTCAATTCATCGGGCAAGGGAAGACTGGCTCTGTGTCATCATTCTGAAAATGGCCAAGTATCATTGTAGCACTTCCTGAATTGACTGTCAGCGATGAGCTTCAACCTCGGACTTTATTCTTCGAATCTCTTGACAAACGAATGCATCGTGCAAATGTCCTACCCAAAAATCGTAATACCAACAAATTTTCACTACTTGGTCTACACTAGAGTGTGAAGGGGCAAAGGGATGACGTTTCTGAGGAAATATCGAAGGGACTGCACCAACTCAACAAATACCTCCTCGTGTGCAAAGCCATTCAAAACAAATTACTATCCATTGACGTATTTAGAAAAGAGGGGCTAATATTATCATTATTCTCATATGAAACTCAAAGTATGTAATTAAATAATCCTAAGTGCAACTACAAGAGCTAAATAATCGAGCGTTTGCATGTCTATATATAAATGTTCGAGCTGTTTCCTCTTTTTGAATGAGATAATATGATTGATAATACAGGGCATCGTTTAAATCCCCATACTGAATGCTCCCATATAAGCGATGATCGAACCATCCTCAAACTTGACTTCAACAATAAGGCGATACGATTCGCTCAAAGGGCCGATCATTAAAACAACCCCGTATTTGCAACCTCAAGCTTTTTACACCACTATTCCCGCAGCGCCACCATTATGTTTCTGGCTTTCTTCCATAAACGAAATGAAATTTCATGTAAACATGATTCAAGGGATTCTTCATATCATTTCTTGGCCCCACCATCATCACCTGTGCTTCCTCAAAGCTATATCCCAATACTCTTGTGAACAACGCCATACTGATTGGTTCGACGGCATCCAGACATTGGGCTTGATAATACATACCAATCTCCTTGAGTCTTTTGTCTTTGGGCCAGCGACCAATGGGTACCTTGTATACTTGATCATGAACATCGACGAACCCAGCATCAATCATCCATTGCTTTTGATTTCCAGCAACTTCATCCATCATCTTTCCATTTTTCACACTTGCTTCGTCAATCAAGCCAAAAAATCTTTGCAGGTCTCCAGCATTGAGATCAGTCCCGTCGTCACTCTCGATATGTACCTCGTGCTCTTGTGCTTCAACCCATCCTCCAGGTCGAACATGCGTATAGGCCTGACTGAACAATTTTGGCCAATCTGATATACTAGATGCAAGAACTCTCCAGTGAATCAGATCGAATTGTCGATGGTTAGAAAACAACCATTCATTCTCAGCATCATCTATCATGAATTTACAATTCGGTGGTACCCAGCCCGGTTGGATAGGACTTAAATCCGTTCCGGTGACTTCAGCGGAAGCAAATTCATCAGCACACTCAATTGCCCAAAGACCAGTTCCAGTTCCGATATCAAGGATTCGTTGAGGATTAGGATCTATAGGTGCGCAGAAGAGTTTCCCACCAAGAATGAGCTTGAACACGTGATGTTTGAGATCGAGTCGTTGCTGTTCGGCTTCATCATTCGGAAGAAGGTAAGAACCGGACTGATAGGCATGATAACGTCGACCATTTTCGTAGGTGTAATTTAACATGGATGAAGTGATAGATGTAGAGGCTGTTGATACATCGTCGTCGTCCCAACTGGAATCGGCATCGCTATGAGTATCCTGAAGTTGTAGCGTTCTTAGTATTTGTGAATGAAGTGAAGTGAAGTGAAGTGAAGTGAAGTGAAGTGAAGTGGTGGATGGTCCACATGATTTTTTGGATTGATTGTCATTACCATCACGGAGATGAGGAATCTATCTTTACTTACAACTTCGACATGATCATCTTGATCTCCATCACTTTGATAGGCAACGTTTTGATTCACGGGGGTTTCTGTTTGTGTGTGATGATGATTTCCAGTTGTGGTTGTGGTGGATTGACCGAGGGATGTTGGTTCCGTTGATTGTGGGGGGACCGAGGTGGTAGAAGTTGTAGCTTGTGGAATATTTTGGTGCGATTGATCCGAAGTAGCTGCTGTCGTATGTGGTGTATCTTTTCCTGTTGATTGTGACATGTTTTTTTTCTTTTGGTGTAGATGTTTATGTCAACTCCTTACATGTAATGACGATTGATGATCGACAATTGACACACGAGAGAATAGAATTTGATTGCCGGTAAACCTTAAGTATGTTGATGATGATCTAGTCCAACCACTACGTCACGAGCCGCCTTTTATACATAGGTTGATGACAAGTGGATGTATGTCCGCAGAAGACTAAGATATAATCTATAAGGGAGGAGATAGAAGGAGATGAAAGTGATTGAATTTATACCTATGAATATATAAGAAATATATAAGAAATATATAAAATTATATAATTATATAATTATATTAACATGGTTTATCAGTACATACATCATATCAATATATACACCACTTCAAAATACATCAAAATTAATCTTTTATTAATATTTTTATTTAAATCATTAATCATTGTTTTTTCTCTGAAAAAGTTTCCTTATAAATAATAAAAATAAAATTTTTATAAAATTTGATCTTTTTATAGATATTTCAATTATAACTCAAGAATATTGTACTTTACATTACAAAAATCTATTTCTTTAAATAACTTTTTTATTATTATAAGATTTTACTATTTTAATTCATTTTTATATTATTTATATAAATAAATATAATATATATAAGGAAAAATTAAATTATATTAATAAATAAAGAAAATATACAATTATATATAACCATTTTTTGTATATAAAAATAATGGTGTATATACTGATATGGTGTATGTACTAATAAACCATGTTATTTTACTTGATAATCTTATCTAGGTACGGAGTAAACGCATAAGTTTTGTAAAGGATGATGAATGTGATATGAATACCTAGTTACTAGTAGGAACAGCGATGGATTAGAAATGGATTAGAAATGGATACATGAAAGGAGTTTGAGATAATTCCGAGTTTTTTAACCAATTTTTTCTTTGCTCTCTGGGGTTTTTCTTACTGTCAAAATCCAAGTGCATGTAATGTGCATTCAATTCCGTTTTGTGATAGGGTCAAAGGACCAGAGGTCCAGGTGTTCATGTGTTCATATCAGATCTTCAGTCAAGGGATGTGTAGATGTAGGGTATCATTGCATAGTGGGATCCAACTCCCCGGTCCGAAAATATATATGTAGGCGCTCGAGTATGTACGTGTGTAGGTATGTACCGGTGTGTGGAGTGAAGTACAGAGTAGAGTAGCTCGAGTAGGTTGACTGAGGACTCGGGTAATGATACACTCACTCACTCACTCATACCTAGTATATACCCAATTGTAAGATTAATATATGAGGAACGGCGATGTGTATATAGGTAACCGTGCTACATACCTACCTATCTAGGTATTATAATTACAGGGCACCAATTATACACCTACCTAGTAATGAAGAATATAGTTAACTAATGGTTTTAACCTTATCATAGTTTGATAGTAAAATATGATCAAATATGATAAAACATGATACAAGTCAGACAATAATATAGTTATCAATTATCAATCAAGTATGAAATAAAACCCCTCAATTGACCTCTGAATGACCAATTAATTATATTAACCCCCCCCTTTTAATCTCTAGTTATAATCTTCCCCGTCCACTTCTCCGTCTTTCAAAGCCGCCACGCGAGCCAAGATGAAGGCATTTTTGAAGAAAGCATTGATGATTGATCATTGAACCCTCTCAAGCGTCAAGACTCCGGACTCAACTCAAGACTCAAGACATCCCTTTTGAGATTTATTTTCCGTTCTACACCGGTCGTAAGTGGATCGATATTATTATGCTGTGTGGGCATGTATATGAGATATGTTTGGTCGGTGTGTTGTCGGATCACATCTACTTTGAGCATTAGTTCCAAGTACCGCAACCCCACTCACCTCCATTTGTCACTCACGGATGATGGACCTAATGCATTCATCAAGTTGTGACATGTATGCATACCAAGGTAATGCCACGTTTTGATGCCGGAATATCCATGTGTGTGTGATTGTGTGTGTGTGCCTGTAGGTGGTGCGGGCAATTCAGTGTGTGGGTGGATTTCCTTGCTATTCAGTGTGTCCGCTCTTGTGAGTAGCTCGTGACACCATACCATTACATTCACCATCTACCCTACCTACTCTTCACATTGCGAGTTTTGCATCTTGCATCTTGCATCTTGCATCTTGCATCTTGCATCCTGCATCTGAAATTGGTCTCACCATACCATTCAAAACTTTACCCAATCCATAACCTTTGCTCACTGATTACCGTACCGGTCAATTCATGCACCTTAAATCTCCGATAAGACTTACAGAGATCACTTGCACGCAGCACTCAACGAACCAAGCCAATCAACCGTCGTTAGTATGGAGAAATCCCCGGAATCGTTGGCGCAGGAGATTGCAAGTATGAGAGAGCAATTGAGTAAAGTCAGTGAAGCAATCGATGCCTATGAATCAGTAGCCACTCAAAATCTAGCCCCCAAAAATATTCAATCCAAAGGAGCGATCAGTCAAAAGCATGTAGAGCTTTTCATGGAAACGGATAGGCTGGTAAGGAAAGTAAGGGGTCCGGTGGACATGGTGTTTTCCAATTTTGAAAACGTAAGTCTACCAGTGTTTGGCAATACAGGTCTGCCCTTCATAAGAAATATCAATCACGATGAGTCTTTGCTGTTGAATGATGATACATGTGGCAGAGGAGGGGAAATATGCAAGCTGACTTAAGATTCGTCACATATGAATAGTCAGTACATGCAGGAACTTTGAGAGCAGTTTTGGAAATGGGCGTATTTGATGCTTTACCAACGGATGATTCATCGTCTAGTGCTACAGCATTAGCAGAGAAACTCGGCGTAGAGAAAGAACTGCTGGGTAAGTGTTTACATTCCACCTCCAATATGCTGGTGAACTGAATTTGTACAAGTTCGATTCATGCGAGTCCTTACGACCGTGGGACCATTTGCGGAGACAGGGGAAGAGGAATATGCTCACACACCATACTCCATGGTGTATATGGCCCCAGAGCTTAGGGGAATATTCAAGTTAATGTCAGGAAATCAACTCCACCATAGCCCATTCCACAGCCTTCCAAAATGCTTCACAAATCACCAATACTTTATTCTAACGCAAATCAATAGGTTTGACGAATACAATCTCGCCAATGCTCGAATGTACGAGTTTTTCCGCAAAAATGGCTTCAAGAGTCCAGATGATCACCTCCTGAATCCATATTGCTTCGCGCACCAAACTGGGGAGAAAAATATGTGGGAGCATATTGGAGCCTTTCCAGAGCGATTCCAAAACCTGAATCTGGCCATGATCGCCCAGACCGTAGCTACAAATTGGACGGTTGGAATATTTCCATTCGAAGATGAGTTGAAAGAGGTTGAATCCAACGATGAGACTGTGCTAGTCGTCGATATAGGTGGCGGCAGTGGACACGTGACGAAGCAAATCATGGAGTTTGTGAAAGAAATCCCAGGAAAAGTTGTACTTCAAGAACGAGATGAATTGATCGATGCGATTGGTCATACAATACCCGAAGTTGAGACCATGAAGTATGATTTCTTCACACCCCAACCCATAAAAGGTATTGTCAATCTCTCTTTTCCTTGTGAAACCTGTGCTTGTATGTGTTATGATTAACGATGATCAGGGGCTCCAATATACTACATCCGTCGATGCCTGCATGACTGGCCAGATGTTGATTGTGTTCGCATCCTAAAAGTAATTGCCGATGCAATGGCGCCCGAGATTTCAAGACTGGTAATCTCGGAGATCGTTCTTCCACCAATTGCCGCCGATGTCGAAGCCGGATGGATGGATTTGACGATGATGACGCTGAGCGGACGTGAGAGAACGGAAAAGCAGTGGGTAAACTTGCTCACTCTATCGGGATTGAAACTTCGAAAAGTTCATCATGGTTCCGGGACGAATTATGCTGCAGTCGAGGCAGTTTTAGCGTAAATATTTTTGGGAAATTTGGATGTTTAGAATAATTAGGCATAGAAGCCGCCAATAGAAACGTAGGTGGCATATAATATGGGGCATAAAATACAAGAACCTATGCCGACTCTAAGTATGTTCCTGCAAGCCAAACAAGTGAACAACCTGCTAAAGCCCATGCGCCCACAGCTTTCTTGCCCCACCAAGAGTTATCTACTTCTACTTTCGCAGCACGTAATTTGCGAGTCGGGTGGTTTTCTGGAAGTGATGCAGAAGATGTAGCATTCTTTTCCGCTGCTTCAGTTCGTTCACGCAGCTCAGCAATCTTCTTACCTAGTGAAAGTAGGTCCTCTTTCCATTCCGTGTCGTTTGACATCATGTCAACTTCCACATTTTGCACATTGCCGAAGAAATCCATCAGTAGTCTTTCCCTACCTCCTTGCTCTCCACCTGGGAATAGATCCCATCTAACACCTGGATGCGAATGAATTTTAGATTCATCATAACTATCAAACAGATCGCCCAACGTCTTCTTACTTCCAGGTTCTCGAACCTGGGTTTCAAGGAAGTCTAGATTGTAATATGTGTAGCGATCAATGACTGCTACCCCAACATCATTATCCGCATGATGGGAGTATGATGATTGATCAATTTCTGAAGAGCCCGTCGCAATGATATTGGGAGAGTAGAATTTGCTGTACATGGTATTCGCTTGGCAAGTGTCGATCATGAAGAGTAATTCATGGTACCTTTGGAATTATAATTAGTATGTGCTTTACTCTGAGGTCGAAGTCAAACAAACCTCTTTTTCTCCCACATCTGCTCAAATGCATCTGCTAAGTCAAATGCGCTAATTTCCTCTGCGTCTTGAAATTTCAAGAACTCGTTACCACCATGACCTGTCATATAAACCAAGATATTGCTTCGATCGTCCGTCAAAAGCCTTTTACTTCTCGGCATCTCTTCACCAACTCTATCCGTCAGCAGTCGAATAAAGTTCTCTACTGTAACCTCGTATCCTCTGTAATCCACCTCGATATTATCTCCGTATAAGTCCACCGCGCGATCGGCGTTACTGTAGACTGTGCCAGGAAAGGCATTCCGAGGATTGCATGCCATATCGTCGGGTAACATAAGAATGATTTGAGAATCTGGAATTCCCAGTCGTTTGACGGTACGATAGAGAGAGAGAACATTTGCTAGATGTCGATAGTTAAACCAGAATCGCGAAGTTGATACGAGGACTGCCCAATTGCTTGTATGTTCTGCGGTTGCAAGTAAAGGTGCGAATAGAGGCGCAAACACCAGGGGAAGGTGGATGAAGTTGGACAACCTCATGACGGCATACGATAAATTCCGATATCGAGATGGATGTACTTTCAGGAATCTCCTTTATAGTTTGATTACTTGTCAAACTTGTCAAACCGTTTGCATACTAGATGTGATCTTCTTGGACCCGTTTCCTCGGAGTCAGTTGCAAGGGCACAGGCGCAGCAAGAGCTTACCAATCGTTAGAGCTCTCCCTGGGCGCGTCAGCATGTTCACAATCACGTTCCGGAAAATTGATGCCTTAAATTAATTTCTGCCTTTTATTGAAGGCTCGAAGCTATCACATGGATGCTCTGACGTGCCCCGCCCCACGCGACCCGCGTTTCAAACAATTCTCAGACACTTGAGTTAATTCCAAGGTAATTTTGCACTAAGTATTTGCTGTACATCGACGGCTCATTTTTGAAACCCCTTTGACAATCACCTCACCAAGCCATCTTTACTATCGATTGTATGCTCTGCTGTCGAAGATTTCTCAGCAAGTAACAATGGGTAGGCCGCCGGCAGTTATCATTGTTGTCAGGTAAGAGATCTCTAAAGGTTCATATTTCATCCATCATCACCAAATTGGTTTTCCTTTTTCCAGTTGTGTAAACAGAAGCTTAACATTGCCGTTTCATACGCTATTCTCATCAAAGACTCTTTCGCTGGCAGTAATATCTAATCTTTCACATAGACATGGTGCTCGCCTCGATCAAGCAGATAATCAGTGGTACTTAACAACTCCGACTCCATACGATCCGCCTCTTACATACGGTGGATGGTCACAATCAAGAGCTCTCGGTGCCCGTATAGCTAACATCCTCCGAACCCGTGAGACGGACGATGAGTTTGTTGGTCAAGATGTTCAAAATGGAGGTAAAAATAGAAAGAGAAGGCACAAAGTCATCATACACACCTCGCCATTTCTGCGCTGCGTCCAGACATCGGTTGCAATAAGTTCTGGCCTCGCACAGAACCCGGGTCACACACATCACTCTCAGCGATCCCCTTCCACACATTCCCAGCACAAAAGTTCGCAGAAGCACTCGTCACCCAGAGTCCGTCCGACTACATCAACAGACTCGCCTAGACTAGCCCCACTCCTGGAAACTACAACTATTGCGTCGAGTTCGACTAACAAGATTATTGGACAAACCGAAAACATAAGAAAATCGATAGTACGAGTTGACGCATTTCTCGGAGAATGGTTGGCTCCGGATTACTTCGACCATATTACTCCGCCTCCAAGCTCTATTATGATGGTAGCCGGTGCTAAAGCTGATTTATTACGAAGAGAGGATCACAATAGCTTGATACATGTGCGAGACTTTTCTGCCCAAGGTTCATCCTTCCAACCATTCCCAGGTGGATGGGGAAGTCCTATCACAGCCGAGAAGAAAGAGTTCCCATCAGTGTCGAGTTTGAGCCATGCGCTACCCAGAAGAGATCGAACGAGTAGTTTGAGTAGCGTGGGAAGTGATGGGAGTCGTCAAGGTTTGAAGGCAGATGGCCATCTGCCCACTTCTGAACACGGCATTTATCAACCACCTGTCCCGAGTTATGCAATTTCCACGTCTGATCCTATACCACCTGGATATGCTACGCACGCCAGAGATGCGTGTGTTGATGTTGATTATCAATGGGACAGTATGCGCGAGCCTTTGCGTTGGGGAAATGGCGGCGAATATGGTGAAGAATGGCCCTCGATGCATAAAAGATTCCGCAAAGGCCTCCACAGCATGTTGAATTGGTATAATACCAGTGAGAATTTTGATAGAATGGCAACCAAGACTCCTTCTAGTCCAGAGCTTGGAAAGCACTTTTCCATTGACGAAGATCAGGAACATGAAGATACGGATTTGGTTCTTATTCTGGTCACTCATGGCGCCGGATGCAATGCGCTCATTGGTGCCTTGACTAACCAGCCTCTCTTGATGGACGTCGGAATGGCATCATTAACTATGGCCGTCCGAAAACCTACTCCCGAAGAGATACCCGTTTCATCCCCCGGTGCAACATCTAAGGCACATTCTCGTACGAACTCGAAGAATTCATTAATCGCAAACGAATATGATATAAAACTATTAGCAAATACAGAGCACCTTCGATCTACTCCAAATAGTACTGTCTCTTCCCGCAATCCTTCTATTGCAAATCTGTCTACATTTCGCGAACGTCAACCTGCAGATCCAACTCGTTCCACGACTGTAAACTCCAGTCTGGGCAGTATCAGAAGAACAGCAAGCATAGCAAGTTCTCAGCCTCGCACGTTTACACCGGCCAGGCAATCATCTATTGGGCTTTGGAGCTCCACTCCTCCGCTACGGGAATCCGTCGATGAAAACGATGACACGGATGGTGATAGCATGATTTTGAATTTCGGAGATGATGGAACACACGCGAAAACACTAGTCCCATCGACAGTGGCCGTTGAAGAAGATAATAAGGCTGCCGTGGCGAAGAAGCAAGAGATAGAAATAAGTGCGGTAGATGAAGATGAAGTTGCTCCCTTGGGATTATGGGGTTCACCGAGGCTACAGGCCAGTTCGGGCCCAGCTGTAGATCCTGGGCATGCGCCAAAGAGAAGGTGGACGGTTAACGAAAGATCATGATTGTTTACCGGCATCAAGGAATGGAGTGATTTGATATGCGAATAGGACCAAACTAAGACAGGAGAAAAGTCATCCGGGAATCGACTACATCAAAGTATGAACGGATGGCTCTCGCGCTTAGGGCAGGATAGGGCAAAGTAGGGTGTGGATGGTTGGACGGATGGATGGAAGAATAGACTTTTGTGAGCTTTTATCAGTTGATTATTTTTTTTGGAGCGTGGCGTGAGGTGTTCAATAGGTCTAAATGGGACAAATCAAAAGTGTGCTCGGATATGATAGCATGGTCAGCTCAGGCGATTTTATGTAAACAAGAGCTTGCAAGTAGTCTGTCTGAGGAATGATATACTGGGGACATTAACTAGATGGTTCTTGGTCATTGCATATGTTAATTAAGGATAAGGATCACTTGTATGGCGTTGGAAGTAGGGTTATCTTTGTAATCAATCAATATCCCACTCAAATTTTAATTAAGATTATGATTATCGTTACTATTATGCCTCCTCCGGGTGAACCTATAGAAATGAATGTGCAATGCCATTGCCATGTAATATACACCTGTTAATATCATGTTACGTGTAAGGTCGACACCACATCATGATCAAATGGTTTACGCGAAAAGACTTGCTTCTCAGGATTCGACAGACAGCAATCATCGACCAGCTCAGAATTAAATCTTGGCAAATATCTATAATAATGATTAGCGGAAGTCCTTGTAAGAATTCAAATCATGTTAGAAGAGGTGCTGTATCCCAGTGCTCATTCTCAAAAGTGGTTTGTTCCTCATCAACGACCCGAAGGCTATATGAGTGGTGCATGAAACTTGTGTCTAATCATTGCGGGGTGGTGTGGGAAGTCGAAAGAAAGTTTCAAAGGGAACATACTGTTTCTGATAGATGGTTCGACTCGGTCTTTGCATGAGGCGATAAAGACAACATAGGATGATGCTTGTCTTTGATGTTCTTCACCTCACCAAAGTACGCGCTCCAACTCGAAGCATCTGATCGATATGATTTAAAATAATGTGGATGGTAAAAACTTTGGGAAATTCATCAAGATTTGTCAACAAGCGACAACGACCCAGGTGATGGGCTGTCACTATGTTCTAAAAGAAGATGGTTAGCTGCGTTTAACTTCAGTGCGAATATTTAAAATGGATTATAGGTGAACAATCAGAGAGGCTCGCATGCGTAATATTTGTAACCATGTATTTTGTCTTCAAGACTAATCGATTTTTTACCATCATCATAAAGTTTCGTGTCAAAATGTGCAAAGAAAAGAAAGAACCAAACTTACCAACGCTTATGATGTATCTCAATCATCGTCGTCGTCAAACTCATCCAGTTGGAATACCTTTGGTTTCTCGGCGCCGACGCCTGCGCCTGCACCAGCACGCATAGCGTTATTCCTTCTCTCCATATCTGCTTTGTGCTTCTCCTCTTCTCTCACTCTCTGTGCCTCTTTCTCCCTCTCTATCTCTTCGGCCTTCTCTCTCTTCTTTTGTTCTTCAAGCTCGGGATCCCATCCTTCAGAATCGATCCCACCATCAAGCAATGCTTGGATATTTGCTAATGCACCCCCTCTAATATCCTCTTCACGAGCCCATGGCAGGAATGGTCGATCATCGAGTTTCGTGTTAAGAGCCTTTACAATATCTGCGTCAAGGGCCGTTTGTGTCTGAGAAGGCTGTTGTGATGCTTGTTCTTGACTTGGAGCAGGCGGATTAGATCCATTAGGAGTCACTGAAGGGACGTCTGTACCCATAGCGGTTCCGTTCGCTCCATTACCAGTCACAGCAATACTGGGTGTAGTACTTCCATTTGTCGCATTTTCTTCTTGCTTCGGTGATGATGCTTCGGGTTTAGAAGATCGAGTCTCTGGCGGAGCTGTGTATTTAGAAATTCTTCGCGCGTAGCTGAGAAGTTCTTCATACTCCACAGGATTCTTGTTATCTGGATATTCAGAGAATGGGGTGTTGAGAAGTTCACTCCGTGTGCTGGTAAGAAGAATAAGAAAGTCGCGAATTTGCGTATCGAGGGCTGTGGAAGTTGCATGAAGGGTATCAAGCGTGTGGGTATTTTGCTGATGTTTATTTACTGTGAAGAGATTGTTAATAAATAAGATCGATGAGGGATGCGAAAAGGGCGGAATGGGTAAGGAAGAATGACGTACAAAGTGATAAACCATCATTAAGCTCTTGATCCGCAAGAACGAGGTCTTGAGCCAAAGCAGGTACAGGACTATACTTAGAGATTGAAGCTATGAGATTAACAAGAGCCTTCTCAACTCGATCGAATCGCTCATCAATTATTTTGTCCATGTTTGATTGATTCAAGTTAGGGAGGTGCGAGGTGAGCGGAGGGTTGATGTGTGTTTATGACATGTTTGTGCTAGTGTCGATATCCTATAAATAGGAAGTCGAGGATGGAAGCGATATGAAGCCGTGCCGAACAATATGGATCGTTGCACACCTAATAGATGTGGAATATTCAAAGAATGAAGAAAAAGCTTTAGAGAAAAGGTAGGATTAATAAAAATAAGGGACTGAAGTATTTTCAAAGACTTTCTTCAATTTATACAATGAAATTTTTCACAATCTTTGAGGAAGAAAAAAATAAGCACAGTCCCCACCATAATGTAAGCGCTAGGTTGAATGACATTAACGATATCACATGATCTTCAACTTCCGTCGACGCCTTAGAGGTCTTCACAAACCACGTCTTCTTTCACGACATACACGACATGTTAATACAACGATTCCAAGAGACAGCGCTGGAGCCCTCAAGGAGTACTGATTCATTCTGCAGTAAGGGCTCATGGCAGCAGAAAGGTATTCCTATCCTCAAAAGAAGGAGAATATCCTTTGGTGACAGATCAAGGTTAACAGAATTAGATGATAAAGAGTAATGATTTGTGGAGAACAAAATGTCGTATTCAAATTTTTAAATTTCGTTCGAGTTATTATTAAACTCCAGAAAGCTTTCAAGCTTAAGGGAGATACAATCGATATCAATCCCTCAGACGGCTAAATGCTATGCTATACTTAGCGAACCGATCACTTACTTTAGTTGGACAAGTCTCTAGGTATAGCTAGCTATTGATTCAAAAAAATCATTATTGACAGTATTGAGTTGACTTCATAGGGGGAATTCCATAGCTTGAAGAAATCCGTCTACGCCGACAATGTGTGTAGATACCAGTGGCAAGTTAGCAACAGCATCTGCAAATCGATTGGTGAAAATTTGTCAAAGTATTGCATTTGTCATCAAAACATTAAGTAGGCGTCCAATACTCTCGAATTCTGTGGCGGTATAGAGAGCGTCGTGAGCAGATCGACCATGTTTTTTCTAGCTGGTATGTTGAAGCCAAAGTCTGCATTCTACGATTGACCAGTCATTTTGGATTTGAGTATTTGATGTGATTCCTGAAAGATTGTCGTCTCCATTAATAGGAGCTCGGTTCGCCTTTGCAAGTGCCGGGTTTCTCTCCTCTGACGTCACTCAAGTGGTTCATTGTTGCTAAAGAAGGTTTCGTGGGCCGTTATTGATGCAGGAGAATCCTCTGAGTTAAGACATGCCAATTCAAGATAATGTTTCGTTTGATGATAAGGTCTCTACTTTCCGAATGACAAGACGCGTGTTCGTGTTCGTGTGGTGATTTTCAAGTCTTGTGAGGGTCGAGTATATGCTTTCAAATGTCAAAGTTATCATTTTAAAACGTGTTCAAAGCAGTGTTCAGTTGAGAATATTGAATAGACATTTTTCTTGAGAAGTTAGATGCAAGATTCATAGGATATAGTTTTCCTTCTAATCCGGATTGCCATCTGGCTTAAGAGAATTGATGCACGAGTATATATAATTCTGAAGCACACCTACTTTTTTCTTTTTAGCTTGTAAGGCATAAGAATAATAGCATTTGACAAGTTCACATACCTCACTACTTATGTTGAAGTGTCCTATTGAGTCATTTGAGGTTGATTGACCACCAAATAAGCTTGGAATCAGGTTTAAGAACACGTTCATTGTGTGAGATGGTCAAGCTACCGATAATTCTCAAGGTTGGATACTATAATTGTATCCTCCCGTTACTTCAATTTTGAAGATATTTTCTTTGGGCCAAGTCTAATAATTCCAGATCGATTAGCAAAGTAAACTGAACAGGATAAAATCCTTCCCTCCATCCAAATTTTCGAGTTGTGAGTTGCTACTCACGTGAAGTATGCACCACCTTGTCATTCAGTCTCCAAGATTACATCCCGAAATTCCTCATCCGCATCCTACCCATCAAATCCTTCCGTTTCGAATCGATGAACAAGCCACAATCTAAAAGTTTCTATTTCTAGATCTCTACATCCACCACAGTATTCATAAAGCGCTTCTTGGACCGCTTGATCTGACATCAGATTATCCAGAGTTTCCATATCGTCTTCGTCTGGCTCGCCAATTGGTGATAGCCAAGACACAAAATTAGATCCACCCATTGGAAGTGACCAACCTATTGCAATACATTTCACAATCCCGAAGCCAGGAAATGGTTCCCATCTATAAAAATCGGAATCAGTTATAATTTGTTTTCTTCATTAAAAGGTTGACATGTAGCGCTTAACGAATATCGAAACTCACAAAAATAAATCTCGTTTCTCATTAGCAATGCCTAAAAAGTTCCGGAACTCGAAAGACGTAAGGTTAATGCCTCCATGGTCTCTAACGTACCGAAAAAGCGTTGGTACCGATAAAAGTTCCGTAGTATCTAATGCTAACTCCAATGGTTCACAATTGCTGAATAAATGTTCAGTAATATCATTCCACCCTGGACATGAGTAAGTCACTGCCGGAGGTTTGATGTTGAAATAGGTCAATGGATCATGACTTTCTGCCCCGAAACCATAATGTTTACTAATTCTCGTTAATACATTGTTCGCGGCTATTAACCTGTCGATATGGCTCCTAGTTTGAGGTGGTCCGTAAGGCCAACCGTACTCAATACTGATGCCACTATCATCTATTTGAGATTTCGCATTAGGATGATCTTTTGAGATGTATCTCATCCCTTGTTTCTCTGTTTTTATTTTCTTTGCTTTGAGCCCGAATTTCCTGACATTTTCCCAGAATTCTTCGGTGAAAAGACTTGAATACCACTGTGTTGGCACCGGCCAATAATCATACGTGTGAAATTTATCAGTCTAATCTCGTTTTGATTTTCGATTCAATGCTGGGGCTTTTCTAGATGTTTGATAAGTTTTATTCTTGTCGGTGAAGCAGCTTGTCTTGATGACACCCCAATTAGGGAGATCAGGACCACCACGATTATACATCTGGGTCATGAGAGACATGGGTTGACCTCCCCAGATCTGTTTATGAAATTAGTATTCGAATGTTTTCATGCATAGAGCAGGCTTAAATTCTCAATAAATGAGTATCCAAGTTCAGCGAGAGGTTCGTCTTCAAAGTAAGGCTCATTTTCGCCTCGGCCGCTGCATCATCACAATTCTCGTTCTCGTTTATAATAGACCTTTGTATAGCATGCTAAGTCACATTATAGATCAGATAAAGAGTTCCATTATCTGCGCTTCACCCCGTAACTTACTACGAATTCATGAACCAAAGTAGTCGCAATTCTCAAATGATTTCCCATCCTGTATGTAATTATCAATATAGGGTCGAATATTCATTACCCAAGCAACCTACTTTTCGGCATCTGTCAAATCAGTCTTAGAAGAGGTTGCGCCAACTCCGTCAAAATCAGAACCTCAATCCTATCATAAATTGTTTGGTTTCTTGTTATTGCGTTACGGCTTGTACGAGATCGAGGCAAACCAGTTGCAACATCCTCATACCCGCTGTGAAATCCGAATACAACCTTGGATGTCATATTTTAGATTGAGCTGTCGAGAATCTGCGGGGAAGAGCGGCTGGTTTTTTCACCTTGAGTCCTGGAGAGGAATCGTTGCAATTTAACCCCTTTAATGCTTTTGGGCATATCTTCGTAATTGCCATTGAGAAGTGCATCTAGCCTAGAAGGTACATCGGTTTGTGCATTTTCTGATTCGAAGTAAATTACTGTACGCACCACGAATAGGGCTTTAATAGATTCCACACAAATTGGATTATCTGCCCAACAGGAGAGCAACATAAGTTTAGCCCAAATGTAAATTGTGCGAAAGACTTTTGGTGCAAATACTCACCATCCAAAAATCGTTTTCGTTTCCGAGGATTGATATCGCTCCCTTGTACTTCGGCATGTCATTCTCTGTCACCCATTTACTTTCTCGAAACAAGGATGAACCGGGTTCTGCAGGTTATGAAGAAAAACATCTGTATCCAAAGCTGCCAAGCAATTCATGGTGTGGAGGTCGAATGCCGCGAAACCGTTGAATCTCCGTCTTTGATAACTTTCCAATTCATGAGAAGTTTCTTTACTATTGCCCCTTTTTTTGCTTCGATGAGATTTTGAATAATCCTCCGGAGAGGTTAAGCCGCTTTTCGCTTCATCGACTAATATTCGATAACAGGTGCAAATTTTCCTAGGGGTCGGCTATACTTTTTTGCCAGGTCTGAATACCCAAAGGTATAGTGAGATCGTTCAGCTAGAAGTGGAAATTAGTATTTGCTTTTTTTTTACACTATGACAAGGGGAAAGACGTTTCGTAAAACTCACTCAATGATAGCAATTGTCCTGTTGTATCATAGTTTATTCTGCCAATTGTTCTTGCCTCATCATTCACCACAGCTAGTGCATCTGCCATACTTTTAAAAGGATTTTTCCACCATAGATGGGGATTCCAAGTTAGCGTAAGCAGGGGAAAGTTGTGTGTATACGCTCAGCCAAGGATGTTATGTATAATCATGACCACAACTGACTTACAAAATTGGCCTCTTTTCTCAATAGTTACATTACAATAAAGGTCACATTTATTTGAATTGCAAATTTATTTTCAGGTGGTAGACAATTCAATACTTCTTTGTCTGTAACCGGCTATTAGAGGCCCATAACACCTGAGAATTACGAACAAATGCCTATAAGAATCCAAAGATCTAAAACCAATCAATCAATCAATGAATGAATGAATGAATGAAAAATCAAATGGCATGAAATAGACAAAGAAATTTAAAACTTTTCAGAACATATCTTTGAAGGAGTATCGAGTTGTGCACTTCAGTAGAACCAGTAGCAGTGATATCTGTCCTACTCATCAAAAATTCTATCTTGTATATCTGTCTGTTGTTTTGCTCAATGAGTTGCTGCTAGGTACTGCGCTGCAGGATGATGCTCTGTTGAAACTTGTTCAGTTTGGACCTTCTCATCTGATTCGTTGTCCATGGTTCCTCTCAGGGTTCCTCCTACTGTCGTAACATCAAGATCCGGATATAACTTCATAGATTTGCTCTCTTGCTTCGCATTGTTCTCTGTGGACCCCTCACTTTTCTTCGCAAATTCCTTGAAGCCCCGTGATTCCTTACTTTTCTTTTGCACATCTACAACATACAAAGAATCCGATTCTTAACCTGTATCTACGGAAAAATCTCGCGAAATGTGGAGTATCTGCGATAATGAGCCCAATAGCGTGTTCGGTGATGGTAACTGCATGTATTCCTGTTGCGTACCACAAATGGTCGGCATGAGTATCAATATACACACGCCAATAGATGTTTATGGCTGCGGAAAAAACAGATCTACTAATAGTAAGTACGAAACAATTTTCGCCGAGGATTTGACTAACCCTAAGAACCCAGTACTAAAAATCGATAATATGCCCATCTTTTTCCGCATAGTCATCATTTCTAAATCTACTGACCGCTACCATCGGCACAAGAAATAGATAGACGTCAGTAACTAGCTCAAAAATATCTTAGGGTAGATTGAGAGCTTGCGCTCTGATGGCATTACTTGCAACGAGATAGATTGCAAGTGGAAACGCCCAAACACCGCCGGTGACGATCAAAATGAATTAGGAAATTGTGGTTACTCCCATACCAACATAACATAATATCCTGATTACCTTCATGGTCGTAAAAAGTTCCAGGTACATTAAGAAAATAATGATTTTGATTAAACAAATGGATAAAGGAGGCACTATTATGTTTAAAGCTATCGTACGAGAGGGCAAAGATAACACTTTATCTAGTGACGCATCCCATGAGTGAATACCGGTTTGTCTAAAACCGCTCGCCCCAATCCAAAGGTGATCACAAAGTTAACCAAGACCCTAAGAGAGTTAAGTAGATATTGAGGAGTTGCATATTAAATCTTAGGCTTGCTAGTAATACGATAAAGGTAACGAGGGTAGCAAGAACAGCAAATGTGAAGAAATATCGCTCCAAGCCCATTCAATAGGATGTGATAATCGGAAGACGGCCCACAACCTCATCATGATACATATTGCTATGATGAGGAACCCGAAAGCACAGAGTCATCAAATGACAGCCTGGTGGGGGAGGGAGAGCTCCAATTCCCGCGAGAACTGAGGTTGGGATTTTCGAGGCATCGATAGCTTCGGCACGCTGGAAGACTAATGGAGTCATGGCCGTAGACTTATTAGCTTGCAATGATATCAGGCATTTGCGTGAAAAGACTAAATGTGTTGCTCTCTCACATTTGAAGGAATCGATGATTCTAAATGCCCGTTGAATTGCATAAGGTAGAATGAGCAATAGAAAAGACACCTCTAACATGCTCTAGTTTTCACCGCCGATCTTAAATTTGGATATAGATCTCCAAATTTCAGAATTGCCCCTTTGTTATGTTGGAGATGAATGGAATTTGCGGAACCACGCGAATCTAAGGTCTGTTTAGCACCGGGAAGTTCTTCCTTGACGAACGCAGCTAATTCGGTTGGCCATGGAGCCGCCAAGTGGATAGAAATATCAGACGTTGATAAAGGTATACCGCAGTACAAGAGGAAAGTAGTTCAATAACGAGATTTGAGGGTGTCACTAGATTGATTGAAAGTGAAGTCAGACCGAACGCCCCCAGATACAAATGCTTGATTTCAGAGGATGACTACCCATAAAGAAATGAAGGACGAAAGAAAGAAAGAAAGAAAGAAAGAAAGAAAGAAATTAGACAGAAGCAATGTCACCCATATAACCTCCATGGCTTCAAGAAAATAATAATGTGGTGTCATTTCAGTACAAAGAATATGTAACAATGTTGAATTATCCTTATCAGGCTTGTCAAAGGGAATATCTCTACGTTCATTTTCCCGTTCTGAGAGGGTTCGATAAACTTCTTACCGAGCCCACGAATCTTTTGAATACCCTAAATTGAGTATATGATAACAAAACACAGTGGTATTCAGATAGGTGATGGGGTGCGATTCACGATATTGTTTGTTGATAGGGAGAAAATTGATAAGATCATGATCATGATTTGTCGATTCGAAGTTTGGTAGATTTAGCATTGGATGCGCTGTAGTGGATATTCAAGTCTCATTTGTAGCTGTGAAGGGTTGCATATTCGGGTCTACATCGATAGTTCGGAAGATGATGCATGGTCTCTGGCTTCTTCTTAATGTCGCAACCTCATCCGAATAATATAAATCTAAAATAGAAACAGATATTGGAACCTGCCAAGTGGCGGAGAACTGTCATCTCCCCTACTTTCTACTTGTACCCGGATCCTTTCTTCCACCGTCCAACATCTTAAACCTCTTTTGGAAACCTTCACCAGTTTGCATACCACTCCCTCTGAGGCCATCCTCGACACTTCTCTTTCTGCTCTTCTCTAGAACATCCTTCATCCCACCTCCGCTACCACTCTTTCTCTTTGTCAACCTCTCAATTCTATCAATACCCTCACCCAATCCTCTCCACTCTTCACCACCGTATCCAGCATCTTGTCTTCCACCAGCTTTGTTTTTCTTCGCCCGGTCTTTTTTGTTTTCCTTTGGCAATCTGGTATAATTTCTTTCTTCGTATTCTCTTCTTTCATCATCTTCCTTCTTTTCCTTGTCGCTCTTCGATCTTCTACCACCAGCTATAATGTTTGAACCAATACTGGCCTCAGCAATTGGAGCAGCAGATAATTCTGTATTGATAAACTCATCCAAGGTTGCAGATTTGTTCGCTTTTCTGTCCTTCTTTTCGCGACGCTCGGTGGTGGGCATAGCAGTTGCGGTAATGCGAGGAGGCTTGTAAATACCATCAGAGGAATGCTTCGAATCGTCTTCTATAGCGGCGGTAGGCCTAAGAAGAGATGAAGGATTCGGTCGATATTGTAGATCGTCAATTTGCGAATTCTCAAGAGGTGCTCCATTTCCATCTGCATCACTACCATCCTCAGATTCTGAATCGTCTTCATCGCTTGGCGCATCACCTTTAGTTCCAACTGGGTTTGGTGCAGGCGCAAGAGCTCGAATGGCATCGTCGGACGCTCGGAGTACTTTGTCGATTTGATATTTTAGTCGACCTTCCAGTGGTCGGACGCCCTTCTCAAGGTAAACCCTCAGTTCCACCAACTTCTTCACCACGGCATTATCCAATTCTTCTTCATCCTCGCCTGATACATCTTCTTTTTGGTTCCTGATCTTAAGAATTATGATAAAGACTAAGTTTTGAAGATATGATAGAAGAAGCTCATTCTTCACATCCAGGAGTGAAATACCATCAGTAGGGGGCTTAATAAGTGAACTCTCTGGGGTTGATTCAATGGCCGAATTCAATGATTGAGTAAGAGTGGTCAATAGTGCCGGAAGAGAAGTTTCGACGGCCATGGTTTCGTCGATATCTTTCTTTCAATTGAATGTAATTTGGATAAGAAAACGTTGTGTGTGACTTATAAGGTTATGAAGAAATGTAAGAGTTTCCACATGAAGAACGAAGAAGAAGATTTCGATAGATTGTATCGATAGGAAAATTAATTTGTCAAGGGGGCTCGAGGGGGATAAATTTCTGTTTGCGCCGGTCAAATGTTAATCCTTTTCCGTATTTCATGCGGCCGCTGCGGCGAGGCCAGATTAATTGAAAGGTTGTCCGTTCAAGTTCCCTAGAGTAGTAGCAAGCAACGAGTAACAATCAAGGTCTCTATCAAGTTGATTTATTTCAATATCAACATCTTATAATTATTTTCTCAAGGTTGAACACATTTTTATATTTTAGTTATTATCAAGTTCACCTCATATGAGAGAATTTACACATTCATTCTTTGCTGGCATTTCATGCTAAATTAAACATAAGGATCAAGGGCTGGATCTTCGTGAGCTCCCCTTTCACAAATATTGTTTCCCTTATGATTTCCTGAATTATAATTCTACTGTCAAATAGTCTCAAGCTCACAAACCGGCAGGTAAATACTCTTCATAATGCGTTTAAAAGACCTTAAACCATCTGCGGTCCTTATTGCGACCTTTCTCGTCGCTCCCGAACTGTCGTCAGCTTTCTACCTTCCTGGTGTTGCGCCGACATCATACTCACCCGGCGCCAAAGTTCCCTTATATGTGAATCGACTTACACCTGTCGGTTCTTATGGTGATGGACAATTGAGATCAGTAGTATCTTTCGATTACTATCATCCGGCCTTCCATTTCTGTAGACCAGATCCAAAACCAGAATATGTCTCGGAAAGTTTGGGTAGTATACTTTTCGGTGATCGCATCATGACTTCGTCCTTTAACCTGAAGATGGGAGTCAACGAAACGTGTAAACAACTCTGCGAAGAGAAGAAGTTCGATCAAAGCTCGGCACATTTTGTGAACAGAAGGATACAGCAAGGTTTTGCGCTGAATTGGTTGGTTGATGGTTTACCAGCAGGACAATTGATTGAGGATGAAATCACACAAACGAGGTTCTATAGTCAAGGATTCGCATTGGGGAGTAGCGATCAGAAGGACATGCACTTGAACAATCACTATGATATCTTCATCGACTATCACGAGGTATCTGCCGGTCAAATGAGAGTTGTTGGTGTGATTGTTCAACCTTCGTCGAGGACAATGAATGAAAATCCAGGGGATCCAGAATGCGGTGCTGGTGGACCACAAGTTGTGCTTTCAGAATCTGGAGAGACAGCCGTCACGTATTCGTATAGTGTCTGGTGGCAACCATCAACAACGGCTTGGGCTACCAGATGGGACAAATACCTGCATGTTTTTGACCCCAAGATTCATTGGTTCTCTCTGATCAACTCGGCCGTCATTGTGGTATTCCTCGTCATCACAGTCCTTTCAATTCTCATGCGAACTTTGAGAAAAGACATTCAAAGATATAATAGACTCGATTCGATCAACCTTGATGACTTGTCAGGAACATCTGCTGCTATCGAGGATGGAGTTCAAGAAGATTCCGGATGGAAATTGGTACATGGAGATGTATTCCGTACACCAGGACGTCCATTGATTTTGAGTGTATTTCTCGGCAATGGAGCTCAATTGTTTGTCATGACCGGCTTCACAATTGCATTTGCACTTTTGGGGTTCCTTTCACCATCCAATCGTGGATCTCTCGGTACTATTATGATCCTTCTGTATACTGTACTCGGTTTTATCGGAGGATATGCCTCAGCCCGTGTATACAAGTCTTTCGGTGGTGAGCAATGGAAGCTCAACATTGCCTTGACCCCAACTCTTGTCCCGGGTATCGTCTTCAGCACATTTTTCCTCCTTAATCTCTTTCTTTGGGCAAAAGAATCTTCTGGAGCAGTACCATTCACAACGATGCTCGTCATCGTTGCTATATGGTTCTTCTTCTCCTTACCTCTATCGTTTGCCGGAAGTTGGGTTGGGTTCCGTCAACCACCTATCGCTTCTCCGGTCCGTACCAACCAAATACCACGTCAAATTCCTCCTTCCACATCGTACATGCGTCCAATCCCATCCATGCTTCTCGTGGGTATCTTACCATTTGGAGCAATCTTTGTTGAACTTTACTTCATCATGTCCTCCATTTGGTTTTCAAAGGTTTACTACATGTTCGGCTTCCTCTTTTTATGTTATGGTCTCATGATCATCACCTGTGCCGCTGTCACTGTTCTTATGATTTATTTCTTGCTTTGTAGCGAGAATTACCACTGGCATTGGAGAGCATTTATGACAGCCGGTGCTAGCGCTGGTTATGTGTTTGCAAATGCCATGATCTACTGGGTGACAAAACTGCAACTTGGTGGCTTGGCGGGTAGTGTACTTTACATTGGGTATAGTGCATTAATCTCGTTTTTGTTTTTTATCCTTACTGGTAAGTCCATAATCCACAAAAGCCCAATGGGAAATGATACTAATACGCTGTTCAGGATCAATCGGATATTTTGCTTGCTGGGCTTTTGTCCAGAAGATTTATGGATCGATTAAAATCGATTAAGGTTTGACTTAGTTGGGTCACAATGTCCCTCCGTTAGATCATAACATGTGCGATTATGTGAGATTATAGGCGCGCTGGAAGGGTTTGAGAGAAAGGCAAGTCGGCTATGTACCATAAAGCTGGATTTCCTTGATTTCGGAGGTATCTTCAACTCAATTCGTGTGATGCGATGATTAAAATATTTATAGCGACGGTCCAAAGAGACATGGTGAGGTGCAAAGGCGTTTGATTAGGATGGGATGTATTAGTACGCAGTGAAAATGAATTATCACTTTATTGTGTCATAGCTCTGCGGCGATCTGCAAACGATAATTTGCTAATGAAGGCCATATGCAATAGCTTTTACGATGTCACCCTTGTCTGCTTATAGCACTAGATTTGTTCTTTTTTCGTCAAGTAAGCACTTCACTGTTTCGATATAATTCCAATATATAATGCCATCATTACTCGATATTGGTAAACTAACTGTTGGTCTGATTTGTTTTATTCTATAAGTATCTGTTTTCAGACATTGTCATCAAGCAAAATCATATTTACATTGCGAAAAATCTTGTCCTTTTTTCAGTCATTTCCCTTCGTCTATTAAACATCCCTACAATTTGAAGTCCATACATTATCGTCCTAAAGATGAGTGGTCTTTTTCAACTCTAGGAGCTAAAGAAAGTCTCGACTCCTACTTGCAGGATCTTGACGGATCCCAATGATCTTAATTTTGCAGGGTATTTGAAGCGATGGACGAAAATTGACTTGAAGACTCCTAGACCTATCGTGCTCCCTACTTCAGAAACTGATTGCCAAAACATTTTGAAAATTCAAAGCAGCCGAGAATTGGTCTCTTCCTAACACACAGAAACAGGTGAGATGGGCGTCGAAATACTCCATACCTTTCGTAACCAAAAGCGGAGGTCACAGTGCATGGTCTACTATTGAAAGTAACGGCATTATCATTGACTTGAGTTTATACAAGGGTATAGAGGTGTACACAGAGTCTGGAAGAGCAATCATTAAAGGGAGTACTCTCTCTAAAGAAGTAGCAGTAACTCTTGCGGAAGCTGGGTTCTTCACTGGTGTGCATTATTTAGTCTACTTACGGAGCTCTTGGGGAATGTAGTTAACGTCAGATCTAGCTTCGGGAAACGGTGACACAGTGGGTGCTATCCCATACTTTCTTGGTGGTGGTTGTTTCATTACTTCATCTATTACTGGTCCTGGATCAGATCAAATTATCTCGGCTCGTGTCATAACAGCAAAGGGAAAATTGATCAATGTCATTGACGACACATATCCGGATCTACTTTACGCCATACGCGGAGTTGGACAACATCTCGGTATCGTAACGCAGCTCGTCATCAAGATTCATCTTTTGAAGAATCTTGGAAACGATGACGGTGCTACTTGGGTTGGAAGTTTTGTCTTCCCACTTGATCGTGCATGTGAAGTGACTTCTGTCATGAAAAATTTAATGAACAATGACCAATATGCAATGGCTGGTCTCATGATGATCATGGCTCCACCCCGGCAAGAGTTCCATGTTTGGTTGTTGCGGCTCGTTACACTAGGAATCCCGACGATGCGGCATTAGCATATATAGATACATACGACCTGGAACCACTTGTTGCCAATGGAGCGCCAGTGCTAATTCAGAATGCAAGCGATAGAAGGGAACGCACTCGCGGCTGGGGGGGCTTTGAACAATTCGGTATTGTTGGCGTGCATCAGTTCGACGAAGAAGCATTTCTTCGGACAATTGCAGTCTAGATAGAGATGATTGCCTAATGTCTAGATGCAATAAATACTGTATTCAACTTTCAATGGAATTCTCGACCTGTAAAGAGACCTGGTATCGGATCATTCATGTGTCTTCACGACATTAGGTATTGGCAGTAAGTGAAAGATTTCTCTTTCGCAAATTTTTGACAAGCTAATATGTTTAGAAACAATTTCATTTGGCACACTGATCCTAAGAACCGCTCGAAAGTTGACGAATTTAATGAGAGGTCCATTGCAATAACGCGTGGTGGTGATGAGGCAAATTTTGTAGATTTTCAAAATTGTATTCGAGTTGGACCTCTTTAGCGAAGATTTAGAGGAAACGGAAGTGTTGATTTGAGTGGAATACAAGAGACGAAGAACCTAAATATAGGGTCTAGTATCAAATTGTATTTAATCTAAGGAGATAATTACTTCATAGGAAATAGTAGGCTTTTCATAGGATACTATTCAAACTAACTCCTTAGAGATTGACAATAATTTATTTAAGACTATTTATTCAACTCTTATTTATATACTAGAGACTTTTTCTTATAGTTTTAACTTATTAAAACAATTAATTTTTTATTCTATTCCTGTTCCGTTTCTATTTATTTTATCATCTTGATTTTAATTTTACTAATATTAATTAGATTTATTAATACTTAATATAATTAATCTTTAATTATTAATTCATCAATTTATATAATTACTATAATACTATAATATCAAACATCTATTTTTCTTCTATTTTTCTTCTATTTTTTTTTCACTTTATAAATAAATCATATTATAACTTAAAATCTATATATAAATATAGTAGAATTTTTCTATTAAGAATAATAGAGATTATAAATAAAATTATTATATTAGTATTGAAATCTTAAATTAAAGTTCAAAGCTTGAAAGCGAACATATTATATAACCCTCTTTTACTAATTAAATAATTATTAAAAAATATTAGTATTAACGTGGTTTAACACCGAGTGCACCATATCACCGAGTGCACCATATCACCGAGTGCACCACGAATTTTACATATAAAATACGTCTGTGCGTAACCGTGCACTTTCTTTATTTAATAATATAATTTTTCAAAATTTGAAATTGTAACATTTAATTATATAAATATTATAAAAATTTAATTATTTATTAAAAATTTGAATTAATATAGTAGTTATTATAGGAATAGTTTTTTTGTAATGAAAATCGTGACAATTTCCACTTTTTATAGAATATAATAGAAATTTTTATATAGAAACTTAATACTTTTATAAAAAATATTTTCTTATTAATAAATATTTTTTGTTTTTTAAAAAATATTGATTAAGTATTAAAATATGAATATTAGGAAAAGGCTAATTTTGGTGTATTTTGAAGTGGTGCATTCGGTGATATGGTGCACTCGGTGTTAAACTACGTTATTATATTTATTAACTATAGTAATTATATAGCTAATTTAAAAAAACAATCTTTATTATTTGTAAAAAAAGTGTCAATAAAAATAATAACCTTAATTAAATCAAAATGAAATGAAGTATAATTCAATTTTTGAAAAGTATTCTCTTTTTACTACTTGATGTATTTATTCAATACTATAATATTATTCTTATTAGACTTTTAAACTTATAATATTATTAATAGATTAAAAGACACTTCGAATTAAAATATTATTATAATATAAACATCTTAAATAAGCTAAACAATATATTAATGATAAATAGAAGTAGTTATTCATTTTAATATTTTTATATATACTATAAATATTTAGTGATTTTATTAGTACTTTTGTTTTTTAATAAATATTAATTGAACTACTTTATATTATTATCATATTAAGAGAATCGATTAGAATAATGAAGTAATAAAAGTTCAAAATTATAAGAAAAATTCATGAATTCTTGAAATAAGGAAGAATACTATTATAATATCAGATAAAGAATTCCTACTTCAAAACGAAATCCTTTATTAGTTCTTTATTTAAAATTATAATTTATTACTTTAGAAATTTTAAAATGTTATATAGAATTTAGTATAAATGTAAAATAAAAAATGTAATAATAAGCTTTCTTTATTATAATATTAATTTTAAATTAAAAAAGAAAGTGATTTTAAATCAAAATTGATTTTAAATTAGAATTAGACATATGCCACCTACGTACTACAGTCTATATAAGGGGTTAGAGAAATTATAAATAAGTAGCTTAGGTTTCTATGGAAAGATTTTATTCTAATACTCACTTTAATATATATTAAATAATCTATTAATATATTCGATAATTAAATTAAACTTTCTATATAGTAATTTTATTTACATATTATACAAGTCTAAGCTTCTTATATAATACTATTTATAGTAATAATCCCAATCAAACCTAGTCTACCTCATACTAAGTACATAATCTATAATAAGTTATAAGCCTAATAAGGCTTAGAATTATATAATACTATTACCTTTTATTCGAGAATTATTTTAATTCTTAATAGAACCTAAGATTAGACTACTCGTTCTAGATTAGAGAATTATTCTTTTTACTACAAAAACTTTAAAAATTCAAAAATATATCGAAAAATAATAATCTTTTATAAATCTACTATTAAGGATAAATCTTTTTATTCTTTTATTCAATATCTTTATCTATAAAGGAGATATTTGAGTTTTGAAAAGTTTTAATATCGAAGACAATATTAAAACTTTTTCGAATCCTATTTTAAAGAATAAAATCTCTTTTTTCATTAATATAAAAGTCGAAATAGATAAAGAAATATAATAAAACTATCTTAAATCTACCTATTTTATTTATAAATATTACAAAAAAGCAATTACTTGTTAATCATATTGAGAGCTTTATAAAGATCTTGAAAAAGAGAATAATTGTGTTTTCTTCTATTATTTCTTTTACAGCTTTAATATAAATATATAAATCATAAAGATAATATCATTAATCGTTTAATTTATTTAGTTTATTTAATTCGTCTATTTTCTTTCATAAAGTTGAAGGAATCTATATATTATAGTTTAATTATTGTTTCAATAGACTAAAAAAAATAAGAAAAATTCATTAATAGCTTTAAAGATTAAATAAATATCGAATTAAAACAAAAAAAAAAGCTTTAAATTTCAATTCTACAATATATTTCTATAGATATATAGGAAATTAGTAAATCAAAACCAATTCTATATTATTTTTATATAAGATAAAAGTTTTTTTTATATGTAAAATAAAGCAATTCATATAATTATATAGCTTATATGCTAATGAACTATGTTAGAGAAGATATTAAAGAAATATTAAGATCTCATTATTTTATTTAAGGAAAATCGACAAATACTAAACCAAATGTAGTCAAGTATATTTCGAGGTTATTCGGTTTATATAATAGCTTCCTGAACTATAAACTACGAAGATTAAAGGCGTAAGTAATATAAAACGCATCTAAATACATTCTCACTTTAGGCCTTTAGACGAATCAAATTACATAGCTAGTTGAAAATTTATATAATAAATTCAAGGTAGTAGAAGTATTATAAAGGTTATGTTTTATTTATATTTTATTCAAAATCACTAATTTTTCATTACACTCTTATTCGAAATCCTATTTAAAGCTTTAAATATTATAAATACTATAAATCTATTAAAGTTGATAGAAAGCAAGTAAAAGCTTTAAATATCGAATTTTGAGGGGTAATAGTTTATTATCTATTCAATTCGCTTAAAGCAGTAATAAATTCTATAAAAACAGTAAGATTTTTTAAAAAGTGGGGTTGACATTACTCACTCATATAACCTTCGTAGACATCAATCAGTCGTACATAGCGAATTAGGTTCGTGTAAAACAGGAAGTCTCGTGGAGACGTGTAACGATTCAGCGTATACATCAAGTGATCCACAAGTAATTTTTTTACAAATCATATGTTGTATATCAACCATAAAGGTGGACTTGGCTAAGTGCCAAGTCCTGATGACTCTTGCGAGCTGCTCGTAATGAGCAGATTGCTCTCCTAAGTCAAGGACTAGGAACTATCGTTCTTTGTAAGAAGGGCCCAGCGCAAGCGCTCGGCTTCTCCGCTCTGATAGGCTGAGAACGTCAAGTTTTCTGGAGGATAGACTTTTATGGCGTTTCGGTATTTCGGTGTTTCGATCTGTCCGATACTCGGTGTCGTTTTGAATGAAAGCCAACCTTAATTTTAAACGAAATTTTCATTCAAATTCATAGTTATTCAGCATTTTCGAAATTTTATATTAAAACTATGAATATAACTATTTCACTCAAACCATTTTTAATAGAAATAAAATATATTAAAATAATATATTAAAATAATATATTTAAAGGTCTCAGAATTTTAATAATGATATAATAGAAATAATATTATAATGAAAATTAATTTAAAAAAGAATTATTTTAGACCTTGATTTTAAAAAAAGCAACAGTTTGAAAATTAATGAATTCTAATCTCTATACTTAAAACTTTTTAATCTCTTAAATAATTAAAGATTTGAGGTGAATTACATAGTATTATAAGAAGAATTAAATTATATTTGTTATCCCTATTACCTACTACCCGAAGGGTAGTATATATAGGGATTTTAGGCATCTGTAAGGTCCTTACCAAGCCCGGAGAAGCCCGGTTTCTTATTATATTATATAATATATTATATAAGTATAATCTTCAGCCTTAATTAGAATTCTATTAGAATCTTATATTCTTTATATACTCCCCACTTCTATAAGCCCTTATATATCAAAGTGTTAATATAAGACTTAAAGTTGTTATTCTTATTTAATACTTATAATCCTATTTTATTAATCCTTTTATAATATAAAGTACAA